GTGGGAGAACTTGCACAATTGGTGGCTGACTAAATACTTTTTTTTCCCCACTGTACTTGGACATGTAGTGTTAGCATTTGTTGCTGGCATGTCATGCCTAAGATAGCTTATCTTGCCAATGAAAAAGTCATTAAAGTAGTTGGCAATATCAGTGGCTTTTGTGATGAATGAGCCATCTAATTCAATTAATGATGGAGCCTTTTTTCCTACATTTAATTTAAGGTGCTCCAAAGTCATTCTTTATATAATTAATTTTTGTTTCATAGTATAGTTTATTTTTATTTAGTTTAGTCACATGATTTCTTAATTTGTAGTACGTTTGCCAATCGATTGGGCTGCCAGACTTATTTGCCATACCTTTTGCCTCATCCCTCTCAACCATACCATTTTTCAATTCCTCATCAATCCACTGGAATTTAACAGTTTTTACAGTAATTTTCTTAATGCGTGCATGCTTATTAGTAACTGCAATAAGCTATTTCATAAATGTGTCAAGTGCAGCGTCTGGTTGCTCCTCATTACACACCACAGACCAGCAAATAACATAAGAATCACTACAAAACTTATTGTATGACCTCTTATACACTATATTAGGCCCAGCCTTTGGAACTTTGGTTTTCCTAGATATGACAACTATATTGTGATCACTACATCCTATGGATTTGGATACTGCTTTAAAGCAAATTTCTGCAGAATTAGTAAAGATGTGATCAATACATGTTGATGATTTCATTCCTGTGCTATTTGTAACTACTCTGGTAGGTTGACTGACAACTTGAACCAGGTTGCAGGCACTGGTTACAGTTTGAGGTTTTTTCTTGAGTGTGCAGCTTGATGAAAGCCAGTCAATATTTAAATCACCCAGAAAATATACTTCTCTGTTGATATCACATACATTATCAAGCATTTCACACATATTATCCAGATACTGACTGTTAGCACATGGTGGTCTATAGCAGCTTCCCACAAGAATGGGCTTTAGGTGAGGCAGATGAACCTGTAGCCATATTATTTCAACAGTATTTAACATGAAATCCTCTCTAAGCTTTACAGGAATGTGGTTCTAAATATAAACCGCAACACAATTTCTGTCTTTTCGGTAGATGTTATAGCTACCACTGTATCATCAAATGTATTATCTAAGTGAGTTTCAGAGATAGTCAGAATATGAATGTCATCTGTTACAAGAAAGTTAACCTTGTTTCTTAGGCTACATATGTTAATATGGGCAATTATTTTTAGCACTTTTCTGGGTTGCTTGATTGTTTTTAATGCTTTACTGGAAAGCTTATCAGAAGTAGACTTGCTCTTGTTATTTATATTGGAGCTGATAGTGCACGGGGAGCTACACACAGTGGACTTCCTACCAGGGCACACCGCCTCAGTGCTAACAGTGTAACTCTGGTTCATAGGCACATGACTGCATTCAATAGCTGTAGGATCAACAGAGGTATTCAGGGCAGTTAGGGGGACATAAATGAAGTTACTTACATTGTGTCTGCCAAGCCTCTGGGATAATATACATTTGATGCGGCATTATGACATCTCATTGTCACAATGGTAGGGATTAACTGAGATGGTCTTGGGTCATTGAGAAGTCCAGTAGAACAGTGTCACAAGGCTACATAGTCATAGGCCAACACTTCACAACTGGTGGAGGGAATACATAGCCATCCTTGATTGTGAGCTAAAATGAAATGTAGAATGAAATGTACAGTGCATTCGGAAAGTATTCACACCCCTTCACTTTTTCCACATTTTGTTACGTTACAGCCTTATTCTGAAATTGATTAAATTATTTGTTTTCCTCATCAATTTACACACAATACCCCACAATGACAAAGCGAAAACAGGTTTTTAGAAATGTTTGCACATTTATTAAAAATAAATAACAGAAATATAGTATTCAGACCCTTTACTCAGTACTTTGTAGAAGCACCTTTGGCTGCGATTACTGCCTCAAGTCTTCTAGGGTATGACGCTACAAGCTTGCCACACCTGTATTTGGGGAGTTTCTCCCATTCTTCTCTGCAGATCCTCTCAAGCTCTGTCAGGTTGGATGAGGAGCATCGCTGCACAGCAATTTTCAGGTCTTTCCAGAGATGTTAGATCGGGTTCAAGTCTGGGCTCTGGCTGGGCCACTCAAGGACATTCAGAGACTTGTCCCGAAGCCACTCCTGCATTGTCTTGGCTGTGTGCTTAGGGTCGTTGTCCTGTTGTAAGGTGAACCTTCGCCCCAGTCTGACGTCCTGAGCGCTCTGGAACAGGTTGTCATCAATGATCTCTCTGTACTTTGCTTTGTTAATCTTTCCCTCGATCCTGACTAGTTTCCCAGCCCCTGCCGCTGAAAAACATCCCCACAGCATGATGCTGCCACCACCATGTAGGGATGTTGCCAGGTTTCCACCAGACTTGACGCTTGGCATTCAAAGTTCAAAAAGAGTTCAATATTGATTTCATCAGACCAGAGAATCTTGTTTCTTTTGGCATACTCCAAGTGGGATGTCATTTGCCTTTTACTGAGGAGTGATTTCCGTCTGGCCACTCCACCATAAAGGCCTGATTGGTGGAGTGCTGCAGAGATGGTTGTCCTTCTGGAAGGTTCTCCCATCTCCACAGAGGAACTCTGGAGCTTTGTCAGAGTGACTCTGGTCAGATGAGTCTAAAATTGATATTTTTGGCCATCAAGGAAAATGCTATGTCTGGCGCAAACCCAACACCTCTCATCACCCCGAGAACACCATCACAGTGAAGCATGGTGGTGGCAGCATCATACTGTGGGGATGTTTTTCATCGCCAGGGACTGGGAAACGGGTCAGAATTGAAGGAATGATGGATGGCGCTAAATACAGGGAAATACTTGAAGGAAACCTGTTTCAGTCTTCCAGAGTTTTGTGACGGGACAGAGGTTCACCTTCCAGCAGGACAATGACCCTAAGCATACTGCTAAATCAACACTCGAGTGGTTTAAGGGGAAAAATGTAAATGTCTTGGAATGGCCTAGTCAAAGCCCAAACCTCAATCCAATTGAGAATCTGTGGTATGACTTAAAGATTGCTGTACACCAGCGGAACCCATCCATTTTAATTCCAGGTTGTAAGGTAACAAAATAGGGAAAATGCCAAAGGGGGTGAATACTTTTGCAAGCCACTGTATCTTCAAAACACTGTATTAACAGAGGACTAATAAAACAAATACAAACATTCCTTTAAGGGTTAATGGCGTTAGGATAATGTTCATGGTTTAATGTTATGTTTTAAGGTGAAGCATTGGATTAGTGTAACCGCCATCTTGAACCATACAAAATTTGTCGATCATAGTCCCGTTGAATATAAGAAGATATTCAGCAACTCTTGGTAGGATTGGTTCACAATGGTTTGAAAGTGAGGTAGTGATAGCTAGCCTTTCTCATTTTTCCCATTAACTTGATGGATTCGTGATCGGATAGCTAGCTCTTCCACTGAGGATCCTATTACAACCAGGAGACTCAGGGATGTCAGCTTTTCTTAAAGGAAAACTCCACTCCAAAAGCATTTTGGTATTTTGTTAATTAGTCCACTGATGATATAGTCTCGAAATGTTTTGCTTGTCAGCAGTCAAGTACATTTTAGTCATTTAGTAGACGCTCTTATCCAGAGCGACTTACAGTTAGTGAGTGCATACATTTTTCATACCAGTGACAATATTCAATATACTTTCAAATCATCACTTATTGTCACATCCTCACTTACCACTTACCGTGGCTTCAGCGATGTTACCTTCTGCCTGCACACCTTTAGTACCGTAAATCTCACTGTAGACAGTTTTAAAGAATGCCATGGAAGCAGCTTCTCATCTAAACCATGACACACGATACAGATACACCAATTCACAAGCATGTGCAGACAATTCAAAAGTGCTTATTTTCCAATTTGCAAACTCAAATTATAGAATGAGTCACACAATAGCAGCTAGCAACATTATGACTAGGCTACCACCAAGGTTAGCTATCAAAAATGATTAGCTACAGCTCTCAAATAGAGAAGTGCATAAACGGTATCATACAGTATCATAAGCATCATACAGAGCTAGTTAGCTACGATTTTTACTGTAGCAGCATTTGGCTACAGGAGACTATTGTGTTTATATCCGACGGTTTGGGGGGGGCTCCGGAGGTGGCATAGGAGACGTAACCATTTTTTTGGGTTTATATTACAGTAAAAGGTCTAGCTGAGGGTATTTTCTCAAAATATCTAGGCAATCTCTCATAGTGAGAATAGGCCATTACAGTCCCGCAACGGTGAGAAGCAGAGCTATCGCTGAGTGCGAGCCATTACGATGTGCGATGTCATTTTATAAGCTAAAATGACGGTCGGAACTGGCAACAGAACCAAGACTTAAAGGGATAGTTCACCCAAATTACAAAATTATATATTGGTTTCCGTACCCTGTAAGCAGTTTATGGACAAGGTATGACAGCAATCCATGGTTTGGTTTTGTTTACCTGGCCAATGTTTCCAAATGCTAACTTCTTAGCATTTGTGGCACAAATCTAATGCAATTCTATGGTACTGATATTGGCATTTTCGTGCATCATGTCCAAATCATCTGTAAGTAACTTCGTTGAGCTACACAATCAATTTTAGATACTTTGGGATGATTCTTGTATGACCAATACAATATGAAAAAGGGATTTTCTACATTCCGTCACCAGGACTGTTCTTTCCACAGAAAAGGGTAGCCTTCATTAGTGGCTAATCTGGCTATTCTGTTCATGAGCTATGAGCTACTGTATTTGCCTAGGGGAAAAAAACATTTGTTTTAACTGATGATTAGAAAGCACAATAACAGCATAATCTAATTGCATTTTGAATACTGCCTGCAATGGATACAACCATGCATGATATTATATCTTTGAAAACAACCCCTCACCCATTTGCTTAACTCTTATTACCCAATGGACATGAATGAAGGCAGGATTGGAAATCAGTTGTCAAATGAATACAACAACAATAATGAAGTCTTTTCATGCATGCATTTATTTATCTAGTCCTATGTTTTTTTGTTATTTATAAAATATATACAGGAAATGATGACACAGGCCAACAAAATGATTGCTAGCCTCACAATAACATGAAAATACAATTTCATGATCCGTCAAGACAAACATGAGAGCTGTTCAGTAAGTCTGACACTCATCCATTTGTTGCCACCTATGAGAGGCAAATCAGTTGTTTCTTTTGGATGAGTATAAAATTGATGTCAAGTCTACTCTTAACTATATTGACTGATACAGTGACGCAGTGCCTTTTGTCTTGTTTCTTCTGAACTGTGAGAACTAGATTCTGTCTTATTGTTGAGCTTGCCTTTGGATGTTACCATTGTCAATTAATAAAGCCCTACAGTTTGGGAGCTGTCTCTTGACTGAGGTAAGAGCACAGAAAACAAGAAATGGGTTCGGATTGAGTCTCAGTACACTGCCCTGATTCAGTCACAACCTGCAGTAAACACATTATAAAAACGGTTTACATTAGTTCATTTTAGGAATCTAAGCAGCAAAATGCAGTTGTTGAGTTTGTTTTGGAGTGACAGAGTCCAATCGTTACAAGTAAATATAATAATCAGCACATAATGTCCAATTGGTAGAAGTCTTCAAAAGCAGTCCATGTAGATCATCAGACAAGAGTAGAAATCAGAGGGCAGGAAGTGCAGGATGAGGGAAAGTCTCTATGCAGGGCCCACAGAAGACACTTCTGTCTTGCTTGCTGACACAGAAGTCTCATCTTCTTCTGCTTTCATCCCTACAGCGGCCAGCATGCAGCCACGGAACTGGGAGGGGAAAGAATGAAAAGCAATGAGCATGACAAGTCAAAATACATTGAACAAACAATATATTCTGTTACTGCTACGTCAAACTCAAAGAGTAAGTAGAAAAGGTTTTAAAAAATGTATAATGTTACCAACCTGTTTGTTCATCAGCACATAGATGATGGGGTTGAACAAGGCTGAGCTCTTGGAGAAGAAGGCAGGGATAGCCATGGACTGGGCACTGAAGGCAATTCCTTTGTTGAAGAAGATGTAGGCAGCAAGGCTAGCATAGGGGGTCCAGGCGATCAAGAAACCACAAACCATTAGGACGCACATACGTGTGACTTCCTTCTCTGCTTTCTGGGTAGATGCTGAGTCCTGCTGGGAAGCTGCAGCCTGAAAATGAAGATAATCAAGACATCAGAGTGGAGAACTATCACCTACATTTTATACTATGCACACTATGTGGAACTCCTAGATAAATGTTGTTTGTGTAAGACGTCACTTACCGCCTTGACTGTGAGGACCAGGCTTCCATAAGTGAAGGCGATCATACAGACTGGGATGATGAAGTGGCAGGAGAACATGTAGATCACATATGATTCATTGTTGAAGCCTTCGGCCAAGGTGTAGTAGTCAGGTCCACATGAGCACTGCATGCCCTCTGGGATGTATCTAAAATAAATAGAAGTGCACAATATTATCATTTTGTGTGAGTGAGTAGGATTGGGGGTGGATGGAGCATGACTTGAATAGCATGTGAATAACATTTTATGTAACTTCAAATTTCCTACACTGGTTACAGCTTACCTGGACCAGCCAACCAGTGGGGGAGCAGCACATGCCATAGCAGCTATCCAGGTGAATGCAACACCAGCACCAGCGTGGGTGGCAGTGAACGTGAAGCTGCCCATGGGCTTGCAGACCACAATGTATCTCTCAACAGCCAGCACTACCAGAGACCACAGGGCAACCTCACCTGGAGAATGAAACCACAATCCAAAGTCAGTTACTTCAGTTCTAAATGTATTTACAAAAACTTTGAGTACAGTACTTTCAGTTCCAAATTGACTAACAATTACTTTGGATACAGCTTATCATTAATTTAAATCAGTTTAAACTAAGTGGATTCTGTAGAATCTGTATTTCTTACCTCCAAGTGTAGCCATGAAGCCCTCAATAGCACAGCCCAATGGTCCCCAGATGAAGTAGCCATTGACAGCAGACGTAATGGTGATGGTGAATCCAAAGAGGACCATGATCATTCCAGCCGCAGCCAAGTTGACCAGAATGAAGTTGAGGGGTTGCCGGAGCTTCTTGTTTGTGGCTGTGACGTACAGGGTCAGCCCGTTGATGGGGAATCCAAAGCAGATCAGGAAAAACATGTAGACAGCAAGACCATAGTATTGCCATGGAGGTGCCAAGTAGTACTGAGGGTATAGAAAAGGACTCCTTACAAGCCCAGTCCTGTTGGACATGGGGATGTAGAAGTTGCTTCCTTCTGTGCCATTCTGCATCTTTACTCAGTGGATGTCCAATGAATGCAAGAGAAAGGCAAACTGAGATCTGATCTGGCTCTGAACCTTTTGCCTATGCTAGGTTGTCCTGGCAGGGAGTTTTATACCCTTTTGGGGCCCTATGTCAATGGCTAAAATTGGCTGAATTAGCTTAGGCGGTGTTGTTACGAACTAATTCATTAATTGATCCTATCCTCAGACATTAGGGAAGGGATTATAACATGTAATCGCTGTGGATTTTGTCAATCTAACTCATCAGGGAGTAAAGATTATCACACTGACCTTGTTTTAACATTTGGTTTTATGTAAAACATGTCTTATTATTGTTTGTGTTTTATTACTATACCTCTGTAGGATAATGTAGCTATGTATGGACAGGTGGTCTATAGCTCCTGCATGCACCCAGTAACCACCTAAACGTTTTTACAAGACGCGTATATTCAAACAGCGTAAAAAAAAAAAAGACATATAATATTATTATAAATCTTTTTTTGGGCTGAATGACTAAAACCAGATATCGAGTATGTATTAAAGATAATGGACCTATATGTTTTTTTTTATAATATCATCTTTGAGAACTAGCAATCACCTAAATATAAGCTTGAGAGTCAAGGAGAAATGAAAATTACCGAAAAAACACTGCCACTCTGAATTTGCCCCATTCATTAAAATCAACAAAATCACACCCATCTATTTTTGTGACTACATGGCCCTACCATTTGGTTTTGAAGTATTGAAACCAAACCATATGATTTGAATGGAACGTATTTGAAAGGCTATAGCCTACAAATAAATACATTATGAAGCATTTGTGAGTGCAACGCACTAGGCTGGCAGGAACATGAACCGCCCAGCATTTAAACAACATTTAATTGTATTAAATCATTATAGTCTATAAATTGCGAATGTAGGCTGTGACTTAAATATTAAACGAAAAATGCCTTATTAGGCTCAGTCTACACAAGTTTGGCCAGAGTCTGTGGCTTCAGGCTCATGTGATGGTGCATGGAGAGCAGGCAAGCAGCGGAGAATACCCTTTCTGCACTTGCAGAGGCACTGGGGATGCAAAGCACCCTTTGGGCCACTCTTGCCAGGCTGGTTAGGGATGCTGAGTTGTTTTTAGATTTTTCAAAATAACCCTATCAAAACAGAAAGCACCTTGAAAGAGGTAACTTGTCAGGCCTATTGGTCCAAAATCAATGATAGCCTATTGTATAGAAAATAGAACGAAAATGAATGAAACTTTTAAGAGATCAGATTTTTAGTTTATAATTACTTTGCTACAATGTCACACTTAGCTAGCTAACCACCTCATTCCTTTCTGTTAGCATGTGCACATAGTACACCATTATGCTTTTAGGATAAATGTATTTTCAGATTCCACAATGATTCTTTAGTTGTGGACACTACATCACCGCACTCCCTCTCTTGCTCTTGGTCCTCATTTTTATAAGTCACCTTTATTTTGCACCTGTGTGTTTTATTAGTTTCTTTATGAAAATATTTAGCAAACTCCATGACAGTAGCTAAAGCAAGGGGCTATAGCAGCACACAAGTAGCCTACAAATGCCAGTCAGGTCACCTGTGATACAAGTCAGTATTTGACATCCATGCATGTCTGAGGACGTTGGGAGATTATGTGTAAACCTGCCACTAGGGGCAACAGTGAACGCTGCTACCTTCAAGTAGGTTTTGTGTTGCTAGGGTGTCGGGGGTGGCAGAAGGTTGCAAGTTTGAATCCAGTGAAAGTTGTTTTTGAGATTTTTGTTTTAAGCCTATCCCAAACCTTAATCCTTCCCTTAAAAATTTGGCGTTAATGCCTAACCTTAAGATTTCGGAGTTAATGGCTAAACCTTAAAAATGTGGAGTTAATGCCTCAACTTAACCATAAACACTTCGAAATTTGACGTTTGCATCAACTTCGAAAACACTTTGTAAGCATCTGCCTCTAATTCCAAAGGTTGCAAGTTTGAACCTTAACCCTTACCTTAACCATTCAGAGTTAATGCCTAACCTTAAGCATCTGCCTCTGATTCCAAAGATTGCAAGTTCAAATCCAGCAATATAATGGTTTTTTTTGCAAACTTTGTTTTAAGCCTATCCCAAACCTTCACTCTTACCTTATCCATTCAGAGATAATGCCTAATCTTATGATTCTGGAGATAATGTCTAAACTTAACCCTAAAAATTCAGAGTAAATGCCTAAACTTAACCTTAAACACTTCGAAATTTGAAATTTTCCAACAACTTCTTAATTTGACATTTGAGAAAAATGGATGAACGTCTAATTCTTACATGAGAATCTGCGAGCTAATTGACAAATGGTTGCTGGGCCGAGCATGCCTTGAGCTCCTGAAGTGAAATGAGCGGTACTGGAGCTGCACTGGAGCGAAATTGGAGAGGGCGAGAAGGTCAACGCTCCAGCCTTTTGAAAACTCGCTCTGCGCTCCAGTCAAATTGTGCACGCTGCGCTGCTCGCTCCAGCTCCGCTCCGCTCACATACTCTGGTCGGAAGGCAACCCTTGATCCCAACCGGAACATGATGTCAGGTGCCGAGCGTTTTAAGCTCCAGAGGCCCTATGCAAAATCTGATGGTCACTTTCAGTAGCCTTAAACTACTGAATTTGTTTGGACTTTGTAGAAACACAAGTCATGGAAACGTTGAGAGAGATATCACTGCACATGCATACTGCACTGGATTTTAGCGCACAGCAGGAGTTAAGTTCATTCCGGGTCGATACTGAACAATATATCTAGTCTCTGGGGCCTCGCAGATCATCTGAAAATTATGAGTATTTTTTCCCAAACACACATCCATACGGTGTGCCACAAATGCGTAAAGCTAAAGGTAGGCTATAGTATGCAATATCTAGTGCTTCTGTGATTTTTGGAGAATATAGGCTTGTAAATACTATTGATCTTAGTACAACTGTGAAAAATGTATTCGTAAACAAACGCATACCTACAAAATGTGGTTAAAACTATAATGATGATTTCATGGACTGTCAGTACTCACACCTATAGCCCAATCTATGAATTTGAGAGTGGTTACATTTCATTTTTATAGCAAATCGGTGGCAGGACGTCATTTTGGCTGAAGCATTAAACTAATTCAGGATTGCGGCTTTAAAACGATCATGCCAAATTCATGAACTGTCATTCTTTACATCCATAGCCATGACTTTAAGATTGCATTACTCCAGCTGCCACTTTGCTGAAACTCAAACTCCATATTCTGACTTTAAATTGACTATTTGTTATCTTTATGTTTTGTTTGGACTATTTCAGGTGGAGAAATGGACAAAGTTGCATCCACAAGAAAGATTTTGCAGACCTGATAAGAATGGATCTCTCCTGATATTCTATAGCATACTCATTATTAGGCATGTCATTTTTTTTCACCCTCATTTTCTGTACTAAAGAGCTGTTACACTTTTAAAGCTAAACATACATGTTTAAGGCTGATGACACAATGAACACTAAGTCAATACCAAAGTGTGTATCTTATTTGTTTTGCTACATAAGCCCTTCCATTACTCATAAAACACCACTGCTACATTACTAGCTACTCTCTGGTCAGAAAACTGTATCTGATTTAACAAAAACACAAGGACACGAGACCAATATTTTACATGAGACCAATATTTGTTGTACTATACACCACTTGTTCACAAAGTGTGCTTGTGGCAATAAAAAGATAAGCAATGGAGTATGTTTTTGTTTTGGTCACTTTAAGGTCAAACAAGTTTAAATATCTCCTTAAGGTGTTTACAAGTCACCATATACTTCAAGGTGTAGGCCTTTATTTCATTATTTGAAATGGCTAATGTGGCTGAAAATTTCAAAAAGGCTAATGAGTGTTTATGTTGTGATTTCTTACCTGACTTTAAAGTTATTTCTAACAAAAGGTTGTCCATGCAGAAATAAACATTGTGAACTCAAATGATGAGGTTAAGCTTGCCTTGCGTAACCACATGGGATATTTTTACATATGCTCTGCAAGCCTTGTGTCTAGTTAACGCTAATCTTGCATAAATAGTGGAACAGGATAGGGATAATACTATGCCACTAAAGGACTATAGCCTTTATTATGGAGTGGCACACTAGAACTACAGCAAGGTAGTAATACAAGGGCATTTAAAGTGATAGTTCAGCTCCATTAGCTATAGTGTGTTACATTTGTAGACCGCTATAACCAAGGTAGTGGGAAATGTAGTTAAAGGGGCAATTCACTGCGTTTTAACCTCAAATTCATCAGACCTGGGTTCAAATACTATTTACTGTATTTGAATTAGTATCAAATACATATCAAAACTAGTATTTTACAAAGGTTCTTTGAAAATACAAGTTTTTTAATATTGGAATATATTTGAAAATATTATAAACCATTGCTTAAGCAACATTAGCAAGTTCAAGATGAGTTCAGACTGGATCAACAGTGGGTCAGCATGGATCTCCAAAGGAAAGACATCAGCAACAGTGGGGGGAAGACTCCAGTGCATACTCCAGTATTGAAATCATGAAGCGTGAGTTGATTGGTTCCATGTGGCTCTGTTAGTAGAGCATGGTGCTTGCCACGCCAGGGTTGTAGATGTGATTCCCATGGGGGACCAGTACGAAAATGTATGCACTCACTACTGTAAGTTGCTCTGGATAACAGTGTTTGCTAAATGACAAGAAATGTACACTGAGTATAAAGAACACCCGCTCTTTCCATGACATAGACTGACCAGGGGAAAGCTATGATCCCTTATTGATGTCACCTGTTAAATCCACTTCAATCAGTGTAGATGAAGGGGAGGAAACAAGTTAAAGAAGGTGTTTTAAGCATTGAGACATGGATTGTGTATGTCTGCCATTCAGAGGGGGTGCAACTCAATATTAGCAAGGTGTTCCTAATGTTTGGTACACTCAGTGTATATTGACTAGATACTCTAGTGGCTGCTCTAACAATGAAAATACATGTATTTTATAAAGGAAGGCAGTTGGGAGGCAAGATTAGGTGGGATCATTCTAGCCAATGAGAGGGCCGATATGCATGTGAACAACAGGCACAATGGTATCCACTAGTTACCACAGCCACAAAGTCAAAATTGGCTAGCCTATATTAGGAATGTGTAGAATTTGCAACATTAGTGCTTATGATCTGGATTAGAAATCTGTAAACAAATGTAAATGACAACAACAAAAAGTAGAAGTTTCATGCATTTATTTATCTAGTACTATATTTATTTATAAAATAATGTATATACAGCAAATTATGGCAACAAAATAATTGCTAGCCTCACAATAAGATAAAAATACAATCTCATGATCCATCAAGACAAACATTAGAGCTGTTCTGCAAGTCTGAGGCTCATCCATTTGTTACCACCTCAACTACATTGTGTGGCACAGTCTGTGAGTGTAGAGAGAATGACAGAGCCCAATCATTACAGGTCAATACAGTATAATGTCCATTTGGTGAAAGAAGTGTGTCTTCAAAAGCAGTCCATGTAGAGCATCAGACAAGGGTAGAAATCAGAGGGCAGGAAGTGCAGGATGAGGGAAAGTCTCTATGCAGGGCCGACAGAAGACACTTCTGTCTTGCTTGCTGACACAGAAGTCTCATCCTCAGGGGCTGCTATGCCTACAGCAGCCAGCATGCAGTTACGGAACTGTAGAGAGAGAGAGAGACCACAATGTCAGAGATGGAAGAATCATGGTGCTAGATAGATCCTACTTTTACGATATAAGTAGGCTTATGTTGTTGGTGGCCTGTGACCAACCTATTTGTTAAACACTAAAAAGGAAAGACCAAAATCCCATGTTACCAACCTGTTTGTTCATCAGCACATAGATGACTGGGTTGAAGATGGCTGAGCTCTTTGAGAAGAAGGCAGGGACAGCCATGAACTGGGCAGTGAAAGCAGCTCCTTTGTTGAAGAAGATCCAAGCAGCAACAGAGGCATAGGGGGTCCAGGCAATCAGAAAACCCATAACCATCAGGAGGCACATACGTGTCACTTCCTTCTCAGCTTTCTGGGTAGATGCTGAGTCCTGCTGGGAAGCTGCCGCCTGAAAATGAAGAGAAGCAAGATAAATGCTGGAGTAACTTATTAGAAATCATAGCCTTAGCACAAGAATCCAAATGCTACAACTTTGTGGGCCTGCTAGTTACATTTTCTGTGTCTAAGAGCCACATACCGCCTTGACTGTGAGGACAAGGCTTCCATAAGTGAAGGCAATGATGAAGACTGGAACCATGAAGTGGCAGACGAACATGTACATGACGTATGAGTCGTTGTTGTAGCCTGGACTCAGGGTGTAGTAGTCAGGTCCACATGAACACTGCATGCCCTCTGGGATGTATCTATGTGGGAAAGTTGATGAGACAGTTTTAGATGATACATATAAGAAGGTAATCAGTGTTAACCTTGACTAACAACCAAAATCTCAAACCAGATTTCCATCCAACCTTTTTATGTGAGTAAAGTACATGTAAATGTCATGACAGGCCTGATGGAAACAGAACGTTTTTCAGTAAACTTTCCAAATGTCGACAAAACAAAATACACTAGACAAGGTGGGGTCTTTTTGTGACGATAAAATTAATTATGCAAAGAAATGTCAGTGTCACGCCCTGGCTCTGGGGACTCTTATATGTTGAGCCAGGGTTTGTTATTTTCTATGTTGTGTTCTAGTTCGTGTTTTCTATGTTGGCCAGGGGGGTTCCCAATCAGAGGCAGCTGATTCTTGTTGTCTCTGATTGGGAACCATACTTAGGCAGCCTGTTGGCACTTTTGTATTGTGGGATCTTGATCCGTAAGGTTTGTGTTTAACCCTAGGACGACACGTATCGTTTATTGTTTTTGTTCGTGTTGTACATTCAATAAAATAATGTATGCTTAAGACGCTGCGCCTTGGTCCACTTTTCATGACGATCGTGACAGTCAGTGGAAACGCTTTTACCAACAAATATTGATATAATAACCATCGTATCGAAGTAAACTTGAGTCACGCAATTACATGTTCTGTGGTCCTCCCCACTGCGACTCATCGTTAAAGCATACACTTTATTAGGTTACAGATTCAATAAATTAAGATGAACTTCACTGGGTGGTGGAAGTGCAAGGTGATGAGCATGATGCTTCTTTCCAATAAATAGCGAGGGTCTTATTCTGCCAATACCAGTGTGCACACTCGTTATATAACGAAACAATTTTTGTGAGAAAACCATCAGTATAGTTGAAAATGTGATGGAAACCCATTTAACTTCTATTTATTATTCTCTATATGGAATTTAACAGCAAAATGTATTTTATGTGCACTACGTCATCATGCAGAACCTTTTATCTGCAATAAGTCCATTTGATAGAAAAACATCTCTGGTGGGAAAATGCGCATATTGTTTTTATGCAGATTTTAGAATATTCACATGGAAATTTGTCGCCAACATTTTTGCATTTGGTCAAATACCATGATTGACCAAATGCATTATATGTCTGATGCATTGTATTAAAACTAACCTATTATTGTCTTTACATCGTTGTTTGATCTCATCTCATACACTTTACACCTGAATTTATAATGAGTGTGTATATCTTTATGTGATTAAAAGATCATACAATTATATGAATTGCAATTTGCAACATAAGGGGATGGTTTCTCAAATACAGATTAAGCCTTCTACTGGACTAGAAAGCATGGTCAATAAAGAGTCTCCATTGAAATAGCTTTTTTGTCCAGGACTAAGCTTAATCTGTGTCAGAGAAATGTAGTATCTTCGTGTTTTACTTTTAAATCATGTGACATGCACTGTACCTGGACCAGCCAACCAGTGGGGGAACAGCGCAGGTGGCAGCCATCACCCAGGTGAATCCAACACCAGCACCAGCATGGGCGACACTGAACTTGAAGCTGCCCATGGGCTTGCAGACCACAATGTATCTCTCAACAGCCAGCACCACCAGAGACCACAGAGCCACCTGACCTAGAATTGAGAATAGGAAAGGGAAGAGATTTGTTTTTGCATGTCGTGCATTTGTTAGGTAAAAGGTGTTGGAGCATGGAGATGCAAACAGTAGAGAAGGGGATCTAACTGCTGCATGATATGGACCGTAACTTAATGGATCTAACGATGCAACGTTTTTTCTAAATGACCATACTATTATTTCATTAAATCTAAATGTTTTAATCTTGGTTGAGATTATCCAAGTATATTTCACAAAAATCTGATTGCATACCCAATCCATGAAATGTATTGAATCTACTCCATCAAATGTTAAAACAATGAAGTCAAGAAAACTCTGTTGCTGTGAACAATAATTAACTAATTAACTAACTGACCATATGGGGAGAAGAATGGACAACAGGAGAGTGAACATTTACAATATTTGTTCCAGTTTTCTGGCAACAAAGCTAACAAAAGGCCAAAATGTGCAAGTGTGGTGCTAATTCAATTCAAAATTTGGAAACATTTACTCCCAAATTGAATTTATAGAACAAAAAGAAGTTGATGCTGGATAGTAGTAGAGTATATGAGAATGCCTTGATTACTTCTGGAAGTTTGTTTGCACAAAGGCTTTTCCGACAATGTTTACTATCTAGCATCAACTTCTTTTTGTTCTATAGTTTTTTATCCAATGAACAAAGATCACCTAATGGATTAACTATAAACCAAATAAGCGCTCCTCTCCTTGTCTCCAAGTTAAATTTAGTTGAGTTTGAGCTTTAATAAATGACTTTTCCAGACAAATGATAATTAAATTAGTTAGCTAATTAAGACTAGCCTGGTTCCAGATCTGTTTATGCTCTTGCCAACTCCAGTGCTGCAATTGTCAAGCCAATTCCATGAGAAACAGACTGGCACCCAGGCTAGCCAAAGACAACAACCTGCACAAAAGATTTCTCACCTCCAAGTGTAGCCATGAATCCCTCAATGGCACAGCCCAATGGTCCCCAGATGAAGTAGCCATTGACAGCGGATGTGATGGTGATGGTGAATCCAAAGAGGACCATGATCAATCCAGCCAGAGCCAAATTGACCAGAATGAAGTTTAGAGGTTGCTGGAGCTTCTTGTTTGTGGCTGTGACGTACAGGGTCAGCCCATTGATGGGGAATCCAAAACAGATCAGGAAAAACATGTAGACAGCAAGCAGATAGAATTGCCATGGATCCGCCAAGTAGTACTGAGGGTATAGAAAAGGACTCCTTACAAGCCCAGTCCTGTTGGACATGGGGATGTAGAAGTTGTGGCCCTCAGTGCCGTTCATTTTGAGTAAATGGACGGGTGGTAAGATGAAGAAAAAGTTTTGTAATTTGGTCAACCCTGTCTCTTTGGATGCAGCACCTCTCTAATGCAATTGTTGTCTTGGGATTGATTTTATACCATTTTGTGGAGGCTGCTTTCAGGGAATTTAAAATCTGTTAATTAGATTAGCCAGGGATTATGCGATTCAGTCTTATAGTTTATTAACGTCTGATTCCAGGGGATTTGGATATTTATTCATTGGCCTTTGAACAGTCTATGAGAGTGCAAGTTGTAGAGACATTTCACAGGTTGGTATGAAAATAACAGAAAGGCTGTATATGCTCCCAATTACCACCTTTATTCTATTTATTTGATTATTTGTTTATTTGTTTATTTGTTTGTCTGTTTTTGCACTCAGCACCCCTAAATCACAATAAAATGACAATTTACCTCAATCAAAGGTCAATCTATAGACTAGTATTTGAGTCAGAGATTGCACATTGTAATTTATAAACCTAATTATACATCTTATAAATAACTTCAGTCAAATACATCCACATTATACTAAAATACTAATATGAAGTGAAAATATACAGCAACTAAGGTTTCTTGTAGGCTGGGTCCTTTATGCTGTGGTTTGTTGAGCTGATACATGTATATACTCTACCCTATAAAAGTATTCACAAGGTACAGTATGCAGCAAAATTGGGCATAACAATTTGGTGTTCTCACATAAAATGTGTATACCTTATAGAGTCATGCAATTCTGCCACATTGTGAGATGGGGTTCATATTCTGTTCACTTGATAATATCTAATAATATAATACCGTTAATATATAATACAAAAATAATACAAAATAATATATACCATTTAGCACACCATTTTATCCAAAGCAACTTACAGTAGTGTGCAGATCTGGGTTCAATACATGCGTATTGTATGTGAAGTACGTATTTTCTGTGTATTTAAGTATTTTTAAATACACTGGCCAAATGAAATACATTTCAAATATCCATTAAATATTCTGCCATAAAATTAAATACAAAAATCCATAAACTAATATTTTGGCGTCCCCTTGTTGTCCTAGGCTCATCTTAATTTGAATGCAAGGCAAACTGGGTGTGGGCTTCCAGGGGTAAAGCATTAATATTTGAAAATACACTTTTCAGTGTATTTGACTATTTTCAACTACACAGCCAAAAACAACTACAGTCATGACTGAAATTATTGACACCCGTGATAAAGAAGTTAATGATGCCATTGACCTTAACAAGGGGCCCAGGACCAGTGGAAGCAAAATAGCCCCATAACATCAAAGATCCACCACCATATTTCATAGTAGGTAGTTCTTTGCATCCTTCTTTCGATGCCAAACCCACCACTGGTGTGTGTGGCTAAAGAGCTCTATTTTGATGTCTTCTGACCATAGCACCAGCACTTCAGAGCGTGCGGTCAACCAGCTTCATTATTGCAATAACTAATCGATGTTAAATAAAGATTGATTGTTTGAATGGTTGTCCAAGTCTCTCACTGACATTTCCAAGACACTCCACCCCCCACCAGGTGTCTCCCATTTGTCCCCATTATCCCCTGTGTATTTATACCAATGTTTTCTGTTAGTCTGTTGCCAGTTTGTCTCGTCTCATCAAGCTTACCCGCATTTTTCCCGTACTCCTGTTTTGCTCTAGTCCCTGTTTTCCAGTTTTTCTTGTTGTTGACCATTCTGCCTACCCTAACCCTGAGCCAGCCTGCCGTTCTGTACCTTGTGACACTGTTCTGGATTAGCGTCCTCTGCCTGCCTCAACCCTGAGCCTGCCTGCCGTTTCTGTACCTTTCGGACTCTGCTCTGGATTACTGAACTCTGCCTGCCCTTGACCTGTCATTTGCCTGCCCCCTTTTTTTGTAAATAAACCTTTTGCTATTTCGAACTATCTGCATCTGGGTCTTATCCTGAGCCTTGATAGTACGAACTGGCCATGACGGACCCAGCTCCGCAGTGCCATCTCCTCCCAAGGAGCTACCATTGGGAGGCACAAGGAGTTGCTGCGTGGTCTTATGGAGGGTTTCCAGACCTTGGCCGTACGCCATGACCGCACGTTGAATACATTGCTGGAGCAATTCAGCAGGTTGTCTGTTAGGCAGCCTACCACGACGGTAACCTCCAAGCCCCTCAGTAACCCGGTTGTCAACAGCGTATCTCTCCCGGCCACTCCGGCTTCCCGAGAACCCCGCTTACCTCCACCGGAACGCTTCGCTGGAGAGTCGGGAACCTGTCAGGCATTTCTCACACAGTGTTCCCTCATCTTTGAGCTGCAGCCCTCCTCCTTCCCTTTGGACTGCTCGAAGATAGCATACCTCATCACGCTGATGTCGGCAGGTAGCTTAGTGGGTAAGAGCGTTGTGCCAGTAACCGAAAGGTCGCTGGTTCTAATCCCCGAGCCGACTAGGTGAAAAATCTGTCGATGTGCCCTTGAGCAAGGCACTTAACCCTAATTGCTCCTGTAAGTCGCTCTGGATAAGAGCGTCTGCTAAATGACCAAAAAAAAAAAAAAAAAAAAATAATAATAATAATGTCCGGGATGGCTCTCGCCTGGGCTACGGCAGTGTGGGAACAACAGTCTGCCGTGTGATTCAGTGGAGGAGTTCGTGGATGAGGTGAAGAAGGTTTTCGATTCTCCATTGTCCGGGAGAGAGGCTGCCCGGAAGTTACTCCAGCTTCGGCAAGACTCCCGCAGTGTGGCAGACTATGCAGTGGATTTCCACACGTTGGCGGCTGAGAGTGCATGGAACCCGGAATTGCTGTTCGACACGTTTCTGCACGGGTTATTGGAGGAAGTTAAGGACGAGCTAGCAACCCGGGAACTACCTACGGATCTCGACTCGCTTATCGCCTTGACTATCCGGATCGATGGCCGGCTGCGGAACGTAGGAAGGAGAGGAGGTCCGATTCCACTCGCCCGCCCAAGGATTCCACCTCGCCTCCGAGGCATCCCGGAAGTCCCTGACGTCGCCATCTCAGAGAGAATCCGAGGCTACCCGAGTTTCCCTGAGAGTTCCCGAAGTCTGCGATTAGCCTCTTCCCGAGCCGATGCAACTAGGCAGAACTAGGTTTTCTCCAGCCGAACGTTTACGCAGGCTTAACACTAAGAGTTATCTGTATTGCGGGACTACTGGTCATTTCGTGTCCTCCTGTCCACTTAAAGACCAGGCTCACCGGTAGGTCCGAGTACTCTGGTGGGTCATAACTTTCATAGCTTTCCTTCTCCCCTTACTCGCACCCCTCTCCATGCCACCCTGCTGTGGGGGAATCAGTCGAAACTCTCCGGGTACTCATGGACATCCCCACTCAACCCCTCTCCATTCCCATGGATGTTAGAGCGTTGGACGGGCGCTCTATAGGCAGGGTCACCCACAATACCACTCCCATCAACCTACGAGTGCCAGGGAACCACAGCGAGGATATCCAATTCCTGCTTATTATGTCCCCTCAGGTTCCCATGGTATTGGGATTGTCTTGGCTCCAGCGACACAATCACCTCATCAACTGGACTGCTGGTGCCATCATGGTCTGGAGCCCGTTCTGCCAAGCCCATTGCCCGGGACGTCTTCCTGTGGTCTCGGAAGTTGCTTCGGACCTCTCCGCCATTCCAGCAGAGTACCAGGACCTCCGGCAGGTTTTTAGTAACGCCCGGGCCACTTCGCTTCCTCCGCACCAACCCTATGACTGCGGGATTGACCTTCTTCCCGGGCAACATACCACCCTTGACTGTATCAACTGTTGGGTCCGGAGACCAAGGCTATGGAGACCTACACTAAAAGTGATACTGTACATCAATGACTCCATGGCTGCAGGGTGTATCCAGCCTTTTGCCTCCCCTGCTAGCGCAGGGTGATTATTTGTGGAGAAGAAGGACAAAACCCTGCGCCTGTGCGTCAACTACCGGGGCCTCAATGACATCATGGTTAAGAACCCCTACCCGCTACCACTCATCGCCTTGGCCTTCGAGCCGCACCACTATTTTCTCCAAGTTGGACCTGCGGAATGCCTACCACCTGGTGCGGATACGACAAGTGGAAGACTGCCTTCAACACGGCCAGCGATCACTATGAATATCTGGTCATGCCATTTGGTCTTACCAACGCTCCAGCTGTGTTCCAGGTCCTGGTTAATAATGTTCTCCACAACATGTTGAACCGGTTTGTCTTTGTCTACCTCGATGACATCCTCATTTTCTACCGCTCAGCCCAAGAACACGTGCTCCACATCCGACAGGTCCTCCAGAGCCTCCTGGAGAACCAGCTCCACCATCCCCTTCCTTGGTTACATCATTGCTGCAGGGAATTTACAGATGGATCCCGGAAAGATGAGAGCGGTGGTGGATTGGCCCCAACCTACGTCCAGAGTGCAGCTACAATGCTTCCTGGGATTTGCCAATATCTATCTCCGCTTTATCTGGGGTTACAGAACCATGGCTTCTCTCCTGTCTGCACTCACCTCTCCTAAGGTTCCGTTCACATGGTCCCCAGCTGCGGACCAGGCGTTCCGGGACCTCAAACACCGCTTCACCACAGCTCCCATATTAGTTCATCCTGACCTGTCCCGTCAGTTCGTGGTGGAGGCCGAAGCTTCGGATGTCGGAGTAGGGGCTGTCCAGTCCCAGCGTCCTGCCCTTGACCTCAAGCTGCATCCCTGTGCCTTCTTCTCCAATCGTCTTAATGCCACGGAGAGGAATTACGATGCAGTGAAGGTGGCGTTGCAGGAGTGGAGGCACTGGTTGGAGGGGGCAGAACATCCTTTCATTGTGTGGACGGATCATAAGAACCTGGAATATCTCTGCACCACCAAGCGTCTCAATTCCAGGCAAGCTAGGTGGGCCCTGCTTTTCACCTGGTTTAACTTCTCCCTCTCCTACCGCCCGGGTTCCAAGAATATCAAGCCGGATGCGCTCTCATGCCGCTATAGCCCCGCCGCTACCCCATCGGACCCGGAGACCATCCTCCCCACCTCGTGTCTGGCGGCGGCTCTCAGCTGGGGAATCGAGAAGCAGGTCCGTGAGGTACAGCGATCCCAGCCGAACCCAAAGGGGGGCTTAGATAACCGGATGTTTGTTCCTGATGCTGTCCGTCCCTCGGTCCTGGAGTGGGCCCACTCCTCCAGGCTTACCTGCCACCCGGGTTCCCGTCGGACCCTGGCCTTTGTGTGACAACGTTAATGGTGGCCTACCATGGTTCCTGACGTCTCCGCGTTCATCGCCGCCTGCACGATCTGTGAGCAGAATAAGACTCCTCGACAAGCTCTGGCTGGACTCCTTCAACCCCTTCCTGTCCCTCACCGTCCCTGGTCACACATATCCCTGGACTTCGTCACTGGTCTCCCCCCATCTGATGGCAACACCGTCATCCTTACTGAGCTGGACCGGAATTCCAAAGCCACCCATTTCATTCCTCTCCCCACACTACCCTCTGCCAAAGAGACGGCCCAGCTCACAGTGCAGCACATCTTCCAGATCCATGGACTCCCGGTGGACCAGGGTCCTCAGTTAACGTCCCGGTTCTGGAAGGCGTACTGCACGCTCATTGGGTCGTCGGCCAGCCTGTCCTCCGGGTTCCACCCCCAGTCTAACAGCCAGTCAGAGCAAGCCAATCAGGACCTGGAGACGACTCTTCTCTGCCTTGTCACCGCCAACCCCACCACCTGGAGCCAGCAACTTGTGTGGGTTGAGTACGCCCGCAACACCCTTCCCTGCTCTGCCACTGGTCTCTCGTCTTTTGAATGTTCCCTGGGATATCAGCCCCCGCTCTTCCCGGAGCAAGAGGAAGGTCGGCATACCCTCGGCCCAGGTGTTCATCCGCCGCTGTCGCCGTAGCGGAAGAGAAAAAAGTGTTAAACAAATCAAAATATGTTTTATATTTGAGATTCTTCAAATAGCAACCATTTGCCTTGATGACAGCTTTGCACACTCTTGGAATTCTCTCAACCAGCTTCATGAGATAGTCACCTGGAATGCATTTCAATTAACAGGTGTGTCTTGTTAAAAGTTAATTTGTGGAATTTCTTTCCTTCTTAATGCGTTTGAGCCAATCCCTTGTGTTGTGACAAGGTAGGGGGGTATACAGAAGATAGCCCTATTTGTTAAAATACCAAGTCCATATTATAGCAATAACAGCTCAAATAAGCAAAGAGAAACGACAGTCCATCATTACTTTAAGACATGAGTTTCTTCAAGTGCAGTCGCAAAAACCATCAAGCGCTATGATGAAACTGTCTCTCATGAGGACCGCCACAGGAATGGAACACCCAGAGTTAACTGCACCTCAGATTAGAGCCCAAATAAATGCTTCACAGAGTTCAAGTAACAGACATATCTCAACATCAACTGTTCAGAGGAGACTGCATGAATCAGGCTTTCATGGTCAAATTGCTGCAAAGAAACCACAACTAAAGGACACCAATAATAAGAAGAGACTTGCTTGGGCCAAGAAACACGAGCAATAGGTGGAAATTTGTCCTTTGGTCTGGAGTCCAAATTTGAGATTTTTAGTTCCAACCGCTGTGTCTTTGTGAGACGCGTGTGGGTGAACGGATGATCTCTGCATGTGTATTTCCCACCGTAAAGCATGGAGGAGGAGGTGTTATGGTGTGGGGGTGCTCTGCTGGTGATTTATTTAGAATTCAAGGCACACTTAACCAGCATGGCTACCACAGCATTCTGCAGTGATACGCCATCCCATCTGGTTTGGGCTTAGTGGGACTATCATTTGTTTTCCCACAGGACAATGACCCAACACACCTCCAGGCTGTGTAAGGGCTATTTTACCAAGAAGGAGAGTGATGGAGTGCTGCATCAGATGACCTGGTCTCCACAATCCCCCGACCTCAACCCAATTGAGATGGTTTGGGATGAGTCGGACCGCAGAGTGAAGGAAAAGTAGCCAACAAGTGCTCAGCGTATGTGGGAACTCCTTCAAGACTGTTGGAAAAGCATTCCAGGTGAAGCTGGTTGAGAGAATTCCACGAGTGTGCAAAGCTGTCATCAAAGCAAATGGTGGCTATTTGAAGAATCTCAAATATAAAGTATATTTTGATTTGTTTAACACTTTCTTGCTTACTACATGATTCCATATGTGTTATTTCATAGTTTTGATGTCTTCACTATTATTCTACAATGTAGAAAATAGTAAAGATAAAGAAAAACCCTTGAATGAGTAGGTGTGTTTAAACTTTTGACTGGTACTGTATATAAAGTGTAATATTGGGATACAAACTCAAAATTGAAAAAATTCCAACTGTATATCTGACATGGTACAGGTGTTTTCTTTTTTGTAAGCCCATACCCATGTGTGTGAGCTGTACACTTTTGTTTCAAAGTAGATTTGTTTAAGACTACCAAGAAACACTGTGTGTGACCCTGATTTAGCCCATTGCAGTAAAAGGTTAATATGGCCTTTCCGTGTATACATTAGCTTATTGAGAAAATCCATGGTGACACTATAGTTTAAACACAGAGCTTAGTGTCACTGTCAGAACTATCAATCACCGATATCTGACACCAACAGTGACTGTCAGACACATAAGAGCTGCTTAGAAAGAAGAAATAGAATGCAGAGAGGATTCTGAGTCCCAAAGACAACAGAAGACTCTCTGCTGGGCCCACAGAAGACAGTCCTGTCTTGCTTGTTGACACAGAAGAAGCCCCCTCATCACCCATTGAGTTCTTGCCATAGAACAACGTGGTCAGCATGTATGAAACTGTAGAGAAAGAATAAGGTCTAAAAGCCAGCGACTACATACAGACTCCTACTAAGGACATGACAAATAAGAGGAACTTGGAAAAATTCAATTACGTTTTTTGATAGCACGTTGTGTATAAATCAATTAACATTTTTGGTAGCACCTAGCATGTGTGACCAACTGGGATCAAACAACCAAACATGAACCAGTCAAAAACATTCAATGACACAAACACCTTTTGATGCATGCATTTATTAATCTAGAATACAATTTTCATAAGAAGAATTTATAAAATATTTTCAGCAAACAATAACATACAGGTGGCCAACAAAAGCCACATGTACACTGGGTGTACAAAAGATTAGGAACAGCTGCTCTTTCCATGAAAAAGACTGACCAGGTGAATCCAGGTGAAAGCTATGATCCCTTATTGATGTCACTTGTTAAATCCGCTTATTCAGTGTAGATGAAGGGAGGAGACAGGTAATGAAGGATTTTTAAGCCTTGAGACAATTGAGACATGGATTGTGTACATGTGCCATTCAGAGGGTGAATGGGCAAGACAAAACATGTAACTGCCTTTGAACAGGGTATGGTACTATGTGCCAGGTTTGTGTCAAGAACTGCAACGCTACTGCGTTTTTCACGCTCAACAGTTTCCAGTGTGTATCAAGAATGGTCCACCACCCAAAGGACATCCAGCCAACTTGAAACAACTGTGGGAAGCATTGGAGTCAACATGGGCCAGCATCCCTGTGGAAGGCTTGCGACACCTTGTAGTCCATGCCCTGACAAATTGAGGCTTTTCTGAGGGCAGAAGTGTGTAATAAATAGAACAATTATGATTGTCGGATCCTAAGCAGTTTAAACTCCCAACAATCCACATACTTGTGATTGTAGACTTCTCTTCCTAGATTCCCACAGGTGAAGGTACAGTAGGGGCACAATCAGCAACTCAATATTTGGAAGATGTTCTTAATGTTTTGTACACTCAGTATATGTAGCCTCACTTTGCACCAATTAAATCTCAATCCTTCAAGACAAAAGCATGAGAGTAGTTCACTATGCCATCTCAAGCTCATCCATTCACAATAGGTATCTTACCACCTCAGCTGTGAAAAACAATTATGTACAGAATGTATTGTGTGAAATAATGGAAAAGGGTCCTTAATTTGGTATATATGTCACTCTCTTGACATAAATGACGGTTAGTATACCAAGTGCAGATTTGTGAAAGAGTAGAGATGCCTTGAAGTGTAATTACATTTACATTCTAGTCATTTAGCAGACACTCTTATCGAGAGCGACATATAGGAGCAATTAGGGTTAAGTGCCTTGCTCAATCAACAGTTTTTTCAACTAGTCGGCTCCGGGATTCAAACCAGCAACATTTTGGTTACTGGCCTGATGGACTTAACCGCTATGCTACCTGCTGCCCACCTCTCCTGTAATTGGAAAGAATCCACTTTGTGTACCAGTAACATGACTTGCCTTTTAGTGGTATTGCTGTTCATTACAGCAGGTGTTGCTCAAAGAGGAATTGTGTGTCTCACTGTGAAGATTGCCCAAAGCTACGGAACAAAAGCAAAACCTTCAAATAGTTAATCATGAAAACTCTTGAGGATTCACCTTGCTGGGAAAAAACGAAAAATCACAATGGGAAAGTTCTTCTGTGCTTCGGTGGTCTAAGAAACTGCAATATAAAATGCACAATAAAAACGAGCTATGTTTGATTATGCAATGTTTTGAGGACTGTACTGTAAGAGGGCATCTGCTGATTTGAAAATAAATCTTCCTAATTGAAAATATGCCAGTCCATGTAAAAAATGTAATCCTTTGAAGTTGTTATGCAGGGCCCACAGAGGACACTTCTGTCTTGCTTGCTGACACAGAGGTCTCGTCATCAGATCCTGAACTAATTCCTACAGCAGCCAACATGCAGCTACGGAACTGTAGAGAGAGAAGGATAATTAGAGAAATAGATTGATAGCATTTTTCACTTTTCCCAACATAAAGCATTGTTTTTTGATGCACAAAAAGAGAGAGACCAAAATATGTTACCAACCTGTTTGTTCATCAGCACATAGATGACTGGGTTGAAGATGGCTGAGCTCTTTGAGAAGAAGGCTGGAATAGCCATGGCTGTGGCTGTAAATGCAGCTCCTTTGTTGAAGAAGATCCAGGCAGCAAAGCTGGCATAGGGGGTCCAGGCAATCAGGAAACCACAAACCATCAGGAAGCACATACGTGTCACTTCCTTCTCAGCTTTCTGGGTAGATGCTGAGTCCTGCTGGGAAGCTGCAGCCTGAAAACAAACAAGGAAAAACGCATGAAATCAGTTAATCAGTTAATTGTTTGATAAAAAAGTATGGGCAGTATATCTCAACTACATTCAACCACTGAATATCTATTGATTCATTTGTTGTGTTTAGCAAAAAGAGATAGACATACTGTAAGTCTGTGTGGCTGTGTTTGAGCAGTGTATTATAATTAACTGTCTTACCGCCTTGACTGTGAGGACCAGGCTTCCGTAAGTAAAGAAGATGGTGATGACAGGAACACAGAAGTGGCAGGTGAACATGTACAAGACATATGATTCATTGTTGAAGCCTTCGGCCATTGTGTAGTAGTCAGGTCCACATGAGCACTGCATGCCCTCTGGGATATATCTATGTGGGAAAGACAATAAATTAGCCTGTTTTAAAATATTTTACTTTAAAATGTATAAAAGGTTATCACAGTTATGCCTTGGATAAAGTCTTTGAATGATCAACTCCTTTCTGAAGGACCGTTACTATAAATACTCTATTTGTCAAATGTATTAATCAGATAATTGACTTAGATGCTGTATAGTTATACTTATGCAGTATAACCAGATGATATGGTTTTTGCCCTGTCTCAGTGCCTAATCCAATCCTGAAGGGCAGAATGCTGAGAGGCTATTGTCAACATCCTAAAAACACAAACTCAATATGTCTACTTCCACCTCAGGGGACAGTCTCAACAGATCAGATCACAATCTTTCCCAAAACATTCCTGGCCACTGTGATCGGATCTTGGAGAACCAGATAAGATTTTAACTTCATAATACATTATTCTATTCACTTATTTGGAAGAAGAAGTGGTCAGTTTACTGTGCCAGTTAAATGTTATGAATAGCATTGTAACAACAAGGAGAAAACTGAGAGGCCAAGGCTGAAAAGAGCTACTGTAAATTACTGTAGTAGAGAACTACTCAAGCGCTCCCAGTCTATTGAAGTGGGGGAAGGTTGGCAGAATGCCTGCACATTGCTTGCCTGCCCTCTCTACAGTGTACATACAGTACCAATCCAATATCAATCATTAACTTGTCATCCAGTTATTCATTAACTAATCAGACTGGGTATTTGGCACAGTTTGTAATTTATCTATCCATTGTGGGTGAAACCTAATTTCCACTTATCTCATATTTTCACTTAGTCTCCCATTGAAATCAATGCACGACTAAGTGAAACTTAAGTGGAAGTTGTGATTCGCACCAACATAATCAACAGGGTATCAAACCCTGGTGGTATTCACGCCTCAAGACTACATTAGACCATTGGGGTCTCCGGTTCTCAGGCAAGGCTGCACTGATGCATTCACTGGTTTAAGCCGATGTGGCCAACATGTTTGTTCAAGTCTTTCCTCACTAAGGCTAAATTGAATAAACCACATAAAACTACTTTAAATCTCTCTTTTTAGTTTGAAGACCATGCTCCATTATTTATTATCTGAGTACAGTGGTCTCCAGAACTTCTCAGTTAAAAGTTACATTTACATTTTAGTCATTTAGCGGACGCTCTTATCCAGAGCGACTTACAGTTAGTAATCTTAAGATCAATGCACTATGTGGGACAACCTCATATCACAGGCATACAAAGTACATTTTTCCTCAACAACGTAGCTATCAGTAGAGTCAGAGCTAGAATGGGAGGGGGGGGGGGGGGGGGGGTGGTCGAGGTGAGGAGGATGATTATTTTAGATACTGTTTGAAGAGGTAGGGTTTCAGATGTTTTCGGAAGATGGGCAGGGACTTTGCTGTCCTAGCTTCAGGGGGAAGCTGGTTTCACCATTGGGGTGCCAGGACAGAGAAGAGCTTGGACTGGGCTGAGCGGGAACTGCCCTCCCGTAGGGGTGGGAAGGCCAAGAGACCTGAGGTGGCAGAACGGAGTGCTTGGGTTGGAGTGTAGGGTTTGAACACAGCCTGAAGGTAGGGAGGGGCCGTTCCTCTTGCTGTTCCGTAGGTAGGCACCATGGTCTTGTAGTGGATACGAGCTTCGACTGGAAGTCAGTGGAGTGTGCAGAGGAGCGGGGTGACATGAGAGAACTTGGGAATGTTGAAAACCAGGCAGGCTGTGAGAGAAAACATAGTCAGATGAAGAAAGAGCAGCTGGAGTAGAAGTGTTCTCTGGGGTGATCCATGTCTCCGTCAGGGCCAAAAAGACAAGGGACTTAAGGGCAGCAAAGGCTGATATGAACTCGGCGTTCTTGACCACAGATCAGTTCCAAACGCTGCCAGAGACCCGGAATTCCACATGGGTTGTGCGCGCAGGTTACACTAAATTAGAAGGGTTGCAGCCAAGGGGTGGGGAGCGTCTGTAAAGCCTACAGGGAGAGGTGCGAACAGGTATGGAAAACACACACACATAGTTGACAATGCTACAAAATAGCAAAATTAGATAATCTGTAAATAACTAGGTAAAATACACAAGTGAGAGAGTGGTGTGGAGCCTTCCTCTCTCGAAGAACTCAGCAGAACAACTTAGCAGAACCGTCTTTGTTTTGGGGACGGCCTTAGTTTTGAAACACAACTGCCACTTACAGCTGCTGCTGAGAAACCAGGGGAGACTGAAGAACTAACACTAATTGCTAATTGCCTAGCAGAGGTGGAGAGCACACCTCCCTGTACTAATTGCTGATTGCTTAGGAGAGGTGAAACCACTCCACCTACAATACAGCCACTGATTACTAAAACAAGTCACATATTGCCCTGCGCCTTGATCCTGGTTGATGTGTCAACAACTATCTGCAAATTATGAGCAGTCAGCAGTTCACACACCAAGTAGGCCACTGGGAAGACAGGCAGCACTTAAAGTAGATGACCCTAGCTAGCAAAAAGACAGTACTAGACCACAACAGATAAAGACCAAAAAAAGGATACTTATCACTCCTGGAGATACCAGGAGTCCTCTAGCTATAGAAGGATTTGAAGGTACCAATCAGACATGCTTAGTTTCAGTAACAACTTAATAACAGCTGATAGACATCAGTCAAGTGATCTGAGTCAGCTAACCACGTATCCAACTCAGGTTGTCCTATGAACCTCAAGATCATGTAAGCTATCCCATTGACCTCAAGTCTAGCCTAGACTATTGGAGAGAGTCTTTAGGTTCATGCTAAGGTCTCAGCTAAGGTTCAGTGAACGATCGACTAAACATACTTAGCCTCACCATCTTGCATTCTTTTGTTGGCTATCATTTTCTAAACTACTCAAGATTGGGCCTCGTTGGGTCTGGTTGGGCTTGGTTAAATTCCAAATCTGTTCACACTATCCTTGCAATGCAATCATTTATTGCCTAAAATTGGCATTATCCCTCCTCACCTCTCCACTAAAAAGGCTGATGTGGCAAGGTTTCTTGAGAAAACCAGAAAAGGCCATTTGTGAGAAAGATGAGTACCCCCTTGCAATGTATAGCTCTGTGAGACCTCTTATTAATCAATGTTTTGAGTTACCTAGACCAGCCAACCAATGGGGGGGCAGCACAAGACATTGCCATGACCCAGGTGAATGCACATCCGGCACCAGCGTGGGTGGTAGTGAATGTGAAGCTTCCCATGGGCTTGCAGACCACAATGTATCTCTCAATGGCCAGCACCACCAGAGACCACAGAGAAACCTGACCTAGAATGAGACAAGGAAAGAGAAAAATACAGTAGTTATATCCTGTTTTGCATTTGGTTGCTGAGACTTCTTCCAGCATCTCCATCAATGTATATATCTCAAACAATTAATGTTTTGTAGACCAGGATTGGTTGCTTATATCAGTATGTTAATTGAGACATAAAGGTATTATGTAAATATAGCAACAAAATAACAAGAATTTGACTTAGTTTGGCTGTATTACACAAATACGCTTTTATCCAGTGAGACCGGGTGAGACAACCACATATCACAGTCATAGAAAGTACATGTTCCCTTAAGACAGTAGTTATGAGCAAAGTCAATGCTAGTAGAATGTATGTGACTGGATGTTCTCTTACCTCCAATTGTAGCCATGAAGCCCTCAATGGCACAGCCTATAGGTCCAAATACAAAGTAGCCATAGATGGAGGTAATGAAGGTGATGGTGAATCCAAAGATTACCATGATCATTCCAGCTGCAGCCAAGTTGACCAGAATGAAGTTGAGGGGTTGCTGGAGCTTCTTGTTTGTGGCTGTGACGTACAAGGTCAGACCGTTGATGGGGAATCCAAAACAGATCAGGAAAAACATGTAGACAGCAAGCAGATAGAATTGCCATGGAGGTGCCAAGTAGAACTGAGGGTATTCAAAGGGACTTCTTACAAGTCCAGTCCTGTTGGACATGGGGATGTAGAAGTTGTTTCCTTCAGTGCCATTCTGCATCTTTAGCCAAGGAGTGGTTGAGATGAAAAGTGGAGAATCTGCTCTAGCTGCAGTCTAGTGTCTTCTAGCTCCTTTGTTATCAGGGATGCTCTGGGTATGGTTATATACCCATCTAAGCAGCCGCATCAGGGATCAAATTGTGATCAAGGAGAGTACCACGTGGGGGGGGGGGGGGGGGGGGGGGGGGGGGTTTACGGGCGGGGGGATTTGAATGAGAGAGATTTGGATAATTAGTCTTGTCATAAACACTTAGGTGATCTTATCACAACAACATATATATTTAGTATCCAGATCTGGAGTGGGTTATGTTCTATATATAGAAACCAGTTTTGTTCACAGAGCATGACAGATGGAGCTGATGCAGTCACTCTGTCACCATCATAAGCACACAGCCTGCTACTGAGAATATGTGAGTGTGTGTGTGTTTATGAGTGAGTGAGTGAGTGAGTGAAAAAAAATTTGGAGATAGAAATATTGCTGTTAGTTTTTACCTGAAAATAAAGTTAACCACATGCCACCATCTGCAATAAAACTGCAATTATAAGTAATTTGAGTAGGATACCATAGCATACTCCCGAGTGGCGCAGCGGTCTAAGGCACTGCATCTCAGTGCTTGAGGCGTCACTACAGACCCACTGGTACGATTCCAGGCTGTATCACAACCGGACGTGATTGGGAGTCCAATAGGGCAGCGCACAATTGGCCCAGCGTCGTCCGGGTTTGGCTGGTGTAGGCCGTCATTGTAAATAAGAATTTGTTCTTAACTAACTTGCCTAGTTAAATAAAGGTTAAATAAAATTAAAAATTAAAAAAAACATAGCATACTGTTATAGCATCAGCAGCTTTCAAATGAGAAAATAGGCATTAATGCTTTATCTCAATCAGCCAGACAGTTACTCCCTAACAAATGTATTTCTCAATGGTTTTCAAAAGGTACCAGAATAGAAAAACATTTTGATACTGAAGTAAAATTGAAGCATACTTATTACACAGTGCGTGTTTGTATGTTCAGCCAAAGTAAGCTTTATACTTAAAATGTATATATACAGTGAGGAGAACAAGTATTTGATACACTGCCGATTTTGCAGGTTTTCCTACTTACAAAGCATGTAGAGGTCTGTAATTTTTATCATATGTACACTTCAACTGTGAGAGATGGAATCTAAAACAAATATCCAGAAAATCACATTGTATGATTTTTAAGTAATTAATTTGCATTATATTGCATGACATAAGTATTTGATACATCAGAAAAGCAGAACTTAATATTTGGTACAGAAACCTGTTTGCAATTACAGAGATCATACATTTCCTGTAGGTCTTGACCAGGTTTGCACACACTGCAGCGGGGATTTTGGCCCACTCCTCCATACAGACCTTCTCCAGATCCTTCAGGTTTCGGGGCTGTCGCTGGGCAACACGGACTTTCAGCTCCCTCCAAAGATTTTCTATTGGGTTCAGGTCTGGAGACTGGCTAGGCCACTCCAGGACCTTGCGATGCTTCTTACGGAGCCACTCCTTAGTTGCACTGGCTGTGATTTTTAAGTAATAATTTGCATTTTATTGCATGACATAAGTATTTGATCACCTACCAACCAGTAAGAATTCCAGCTCTCACAGACCTGTTAGTTTTTCTTTAAGAAGCCCTCCTGTTCTCCACTCATTACCTGTATTAACTGCACCTGTTTGAACTCGTTACCTGTATAAAAGACACCTGTCCACACACTCAATCAAACAGACTCCAACCTCTCCACAATGGCCAAGACCAGAGAGCTGTGTAAGGACATCAGGGATACAATTGTAGACCTGCACAAGGCTGGGATGGGCTACAGGACAATAGGCAAGCAGCTTGGTGAGAAGGACAATAGGCAAGCAGCTTGCTGTCCCCAGTCCGCCTGGCCTTGCTGCTATTCCAGTTTCAACTGTTCTGCCTGCGGTTACGAAACCCCTACCTGTCCCAGACCTGCTGTTTTCAACTCTTAATGATCGGCTATGAAAAGCCAACTGAGAGACCTGAGCCTAGGACCATACGTCGGGACTACCGGCCGTGGTGACTCCTTGCTGTCCCCAGTCCGCCTGGCCTTGCTGCTATTCCAGTTTCAACTGTTCTGCCTGCGGTTATGGAACCCCTACCTGTCCCAGACCTGCTGTTTTCAACTCTTAATGATCGGCTATGAAAAGCCAACTGAGATTTATTCCTGATTATTATTTGACCATGCTTGTCACTTATGAACATTTTTGAACATCTTGGCATGGTTCTGTTATAATCTCCACCCGGCACAGCCAGAAGAGGACTGGCCACCCCTCATAGCCTGGTTCCTCTCTAGGTTTCTTCCTAGGTTTTGGCCTTTCTAGGGAGTTTTTCCTAGCCACCGTGCTTCTACACCTGCATTACTAGCTGTTTGGGGTTTTAGGCTGGGTTTCTGTACAGCACTTCGAGATATTAGCTGATGTAAGAAGGGCTATATAAAATAAAATTGATTGATTGAACAACTGTTGGCACAATTATTAGAAAATGGAAGAAGTTCAAGATGACGGTCAATCACCCTCGGTCTGGGGCTCCATGCAAGATCTCACCTCGTGGGGCATCAATGATCATGAGGAAGGTGAGGGATCAGCCCAGAACTACACGGCAGGACCTGGTCAATGACCTGAAGAGAGCTGGGACCACAGTCTCAAAGAAAACCATTAGTAACACACTACGCCGTCATGGAATAAAATCCTGCAGCGCACGCAAGGTCCCCCTGCTCAAGCCAGCGCATGTCCAGGCCCATCTGAAGTTTGCCAATGACCATCTGGATGATCCAGAGGAGGAATGGGAGAAGGTCATGTGGTCTGATGAGACAGAACTTGAGCTTTTTGGTCTAAACTCCACTCGCCGTGTTTGGAGGAAGAAGAAGGATGAGTACAACCCCAAGAACACCATCCCAACCGTGAAGCATGGACGTGGAAACATCATTCTTTGGGGATGCTTTTCTGCAAAGGGGACAGGACGACTGCACTGTATTGAGGGGAGGATGGATGGGGCCATGTATCGCGAGATCTTGGCCAACAACCTCTTTCCCTCAGTAAGAACATTGAAGATGGGTCATGGCTGGGTCTTCCAGCATGACAACGACCCGAAACACACAGCCAGGGCAACTAAGGAGTGGCTCCGTAAGAAGCATCTCAAGGTCCTGGAGTGGCCTAGCCAGTCTCCAGACCTGAACCCAATAGAAAATCTTTGGAGGGAGCTGAAAGTCCGTGTTGCCCAGCGACAGCCCCGAAACCTGAAGGATCTGGAGAAGGTCTGTATGGGGGAGTGGGAGAGTTGAAATTAATGCAATTTTGGGTTTGCATTCCAATATTACATGTTACTGTATATACACATCAGAGAAGACTGAAATATAACAAAAATCCTTGACATAGAAACACCAGATTTTCGTCATACATTTTTTTTTTATAATCTTTATTAATTATGAAAAATATGAATAACATTCTACCCATGAGGCCAAAGAGGGCGGTTTTGGTCATTGACCGCAGGAAATGCTCTATTGCTTAATTAACACAGAGTTTAGTGTCAGTACTGTCAATCACAACTACAATTCCCAGACATGACCAGTGGCTGCCAGACACCAATGAGGACATATATGAGGATACTGTATGTTTCTATGCAGGGTCCACAGAAGACACCTCTGACCAGCTTGTTGACACAGAAGAAACTTCTTCATCACCCAATGGGTTCTTGCTGCAGAACAAGGTGATCAGCATGCAGTTACGGAAATGAAGGGAGAGAATGAGGACCAAAAATCAGTGAACAATGTACTTTAAACATTTGTACATTTTAGTCATTTAGCAGACGCTCTTATCCAGAGCAACTTACAGTTAGTGAGTGCATACATTTTTCATACTGGCCCCCCGTGGGAATTGAACCCACAACCCTGGCGTTGCAAACGCAATGCTCTACCATCTGAGCTACACGGGGCCCAGACACAGACACAGGATATGACCACTAACATTTGACCAACTGGGGTTCGACCCGGGTCTCCTGCATGCCACAAGACAGCGTAAGTCCCTTGATCTGAAGCCTATACATTAGTTTTGGGAGCTAACACAACTCTTCAGGACAGATTTCTCTGATCCACCTCTGAAAATAAGGATGAAGACCTCAGGAGAAAGGCTTTTGTTATAAGGCATTTATAAAAGAAAATGCTTAAAATGGTCACTGATCAGTGAGTTTGTATCATAACATTACTATGGTCTTGATCCCTCATTTGGACGTATTTCCAGATACAACATTTCATGATTTCGCTGATGAATTGTTTGTGAAGTGATCAGCTGAACAAATTGAAATAGCAAAGTAAACAATACATGTATTTGTCCCGTCCTACTTTTTTATTTTATAATAAAGTATGTACATTATTAGATTCATGGCCTAAAAGTTACATAAATATAAAGATCTATTCAATGGTTTCTCAGAATGCATTTATGCATGCAAGTGCAGACTACAAAATCAAGGTTGCGACAACCATTTAAATAATGTTCCACATATGTCTTACCACCAAAAATAACTTGTTTGAGCAACCCCGTTAAAAAAGGATGCTTCTGGCCTGAGGGGTACCTTCTTATATACAGTTACAGTGTGGTGCAAAACCCTTTCCTGTAGTCAAATGACCTAGTGGCCTCATGGGTGGAATGTTATTAATATTTTTCATAATTTCATAATTAATCATTTGTTTGTTTTTTATGCCAAAAATCTGGTGTTTCTATGTGAAACGGTTTTGTTATATTTCAGTCTTCTGTGATGTATATAAAGTGTAATTTTGGGATACAAACTCACAATGTAATACATTTCAACTCTATATCTGACATGGTACAGGTGTCTTCTTTATTTTGAGGCCATAACCATTTTGTGTGAGTTGTATACTTTTGTTTCAAAGTAGATTTGTTTAAGACTACCAAGAAACACTGTGTGACCCTGATTTAGCCCACTGCAGTAAAAGGTTATTAATATGGTCTTTCCGTGTATACATTAGCTTATTGAGAAAATCAATGGTGACACTATAGCTTAAACACAGAGCTTAGTGTCACTGTCAGCACTATCAATCACCGAAATCTGACACCAACAGTGACTGTCAGACACATAAGAGCTGCTTAGAAAGAAGAAATAGAACGCAGAGAGGATTCAGAGTCCCAACAGACAACAGAAGACTCTGTGCTGTTGACACAGAAGACAGTCCTGTCTTGCTTGTTGACACAGAAGAACCCCCCTCATCACCCATTGAGTTCTTGCCATAGAACAACGTGGACAGCATGTATGAAACTGTAAAGAAAGAATAAGGACCAAGGGTGCAGCTCAATATTAACATGGTGTTCTTAATGTTCTGTGCACTCAGTGTACGTCGCCTCACTTTGTACCAATAAAATCTCAATCCTTCAAGACAAAAGCATGAGAGCAGTTCACTATGTCATCCCAAGGTCATCCATTCACAATAGGTATCTTACGACGTTAGCTATGAAAAGCAATTATGTGCAGAAGGTTTTGTGTGAGGCAATGGAACATTGTCCTAATTTGTTAAGCATGTCACTGTCTTAACATAAATGACAGTTAGTATACCAAGTTCAGATTTGTGAAAGAGTAGAGATGCCTTGAAATGTGCAGTGTAATTACATTTACATTTTAGTCATTTAGCAGACGCACGTATCCAGAGCGACTTACAGCAGCAATTAGGGTTAAGTGCCTTTCTCAATCAAGGGAACATCAACCGATTTTTCACCTAGTCGGCTTGAACCAGTGACATTTCCGTTCCTGGCCCAACGTTCTTACCCGCTAGGATACCTACCGCCGCCACTGTAAAGGCAGCTCTTTTGTTGAAGAAGATCCAGGCAGCAAAGCTGGCATAGGGGGTTCAGGCAATCAGGAAACTACAAGGAAGCACATACAGTGAGGGAAAAAAGTATTTGATCCCCTGCTGATTTTGTACGTTTTCCCACTGACAAAGACATCAGTCTATAATTTTAATGGTAGGTTTATTTGAACAGTGAGAGACAGAATAACAACAAAAAAATCCAGAAAAACGCATGTAAAAAAATATATGAATTGATTTGCATTTTAATGAGGGAAATAAGTATTTGACCCCTCTGCAAAACATTACTTAGTACTTGGTGGCAAAACCCTTGTTGGCAATCATAGAGCTCAGACGTTTCTTGTAGTTGGCCACCAGGTTTGCACACATCTCAGGAGGGATTTTGTTCCACTCCTCTTTGCAGATCTTCTCCAAGTCATTAAGGTTTCGAGGCTGACGTTTGGCAACTCGAACCTTCAGCTCCCTCCACAGATTTTCAATGGGATTAAGGTCTGGAGACTGGCTAGGCCACTCCAGGACCTTAATGTGCTTCTTCTTGAGCCACTCCTTTGTTGCCTTGGCCGTGTGTTTTTGGTCATTGTCATGCTGGAATACCCATCCATGACCCATTGTCAATGCCCTGGCTGAGGGACGAAGGTTCTCACCCAAGATTTGACGGTACATTGCCCTGTCCATCGTCCCTTTTATGCGGTGAAGTTGTCCTGTCCCCTTAGCAGAAAAACACCCCCAAAGCATAATGTTTCCACCTCCATGTTTGATGGTGGGGATGGTGTTCTTGGGGTCATAGGCAGCATTCCTCCTCCTCCAAACATGGCGAGTTGAGTTGATGCCAAAGAGCTCTATTTTGGTCTCATCTGACCACAACACTTTCACCCAGTTCTCCTCTGAATCATTCAGATGTTCATTGGCAGACCTCAGACGGTCCTGTATATGTGCTTTCTTGAGCAGGGGGACCTTGCGGGCGCTGCAGGATTTCAGTCCTTCACGGCATAGTGTGTTACCAATTGTTTTCTTGGTGACTATGGTCCCAGCTGCCTTGACATCATTGACAAGATCCTCCCGTGTAGTTCTGGGCTGATTCCTCACCGTTCTCATGATCATTGCAAGTCCACGAGGTGAGATCTTGCATGGAGCCCCAGGCCGAGGGAGATTGACAGTTATTTTGTGTTTCTTCCATTTGCGAATAATCGCACCAACTGTTGTCACCTTCTCACCAAGCTGCTTGGCGATGGTCTTGTAGCCCGTTACAGCCTTGTGTAGGTCTACAATCTTGTCCCTGACATCCTTGGAGAGCTCTTTGGTCTTGGCCATGGTGGAGAGTTTGGAATCTGATTGATTGATTGCTTCTGTGGACAGGTTTCTTTTATACAGGTAACAAGCTGAGATTAGGAGCACTCCCTTTAAGAGTGTGCTCCTAATCTCAGCTCGTTACCTGTATAAAAGACACCTGGGAGCCAGAAATCTTTCTGATTGAGAGGGGGTCAAATACTTATTTCCCTCATTAAAATGCAAATCAATTTATAACATTTTTGACATGCGTTTTTCTGGATTTTTTTGTTGTTATTCTGTCACTCACTGTTCAAATAAACACACGATTACAATTATAGACTGATCATTTCTTTGTCAGTGGGCAAACGTACAAAATCAGCAGGGGATCAAATACTTTTTTCCCTCACTGTATGTGTCATTTCCTTCTCAATTTTCTGGGTAGATGCTGAGTCCTGCTGGGAAGCTGCAGCCTGAAAAATACATTAAATCAGGTTCTTAAGTAATTTTTTGTTAAAAACATTAGGAACACATGATCTTTCCTTGAAGCTTTGATCCATTATTGATGTCACTTGTTCAGTGTAGCTGAAGGGGAGGAGGGGGAGGAGACAGGGTAAAGAAGGATTTTTTAGCCTTGAGAAAATTGAGACATGGATTGTGTATGTGTGTCATTCAGAGGGTGAATGAGCAAGCAAATATTGAAGTGCCTTTGAACGGGATATGTTAGCAGGTGCCAGGCACACCAGTTTGAGTTTTTTTGTGTCTTTTTCTGTTCTAGTACTGTCTTTTTGCTAGCTAGGGCCATCTACTTTAAGTGCTGCCTGTCTTCCCGGTTGCCTACTTTATTTTATTTTTTATTTCACCTTTATTTAACCAGGTAAGCCAGTTGAGAACAAGTTCTCATTTACAACTGCGACCTGGCCAAGATAAAGCAAAGCAGTGCGATAAAAACAACAACACAGAGTTACATATGGGGTAAAAAAAACATAAAGTCAAAAAATACAACAGAAAATATATATACAGTGTGTGCAAATGTAGCAAGTTATGGAGGTAAGGCAATAAATAGGCTATAGTACAAAATAATTACAATTAGTATTTACACTGGAATGCTAGATGTGCAAGGGATTATGTGCAAATAGAGATACTGGGGTGCAAAAGAGCAAAATAAATAACAATATAGGGATGAGGTAGTTGGGTGGGCTAATTTCAGATGGGCTGTGTACAGGTGCAGTGATCGGTAAGGTGCTCTGACAACTGATGCTTAAAGTTAGTGAGGGAGATAAGAGTCTCCAGCTTCAGAGAGTTTTGCAATTCGTTCCAGTCATTGGCAGCAGAGACCAGTGAGAAATACCTGCTGGAACGCAGACTACGGGTGGGTGCTGCTATGGTGACCAATGATAAGGCAGGGATTTGCCTAGCAGTGATTTATAGATGGCCTGGAGCCAGTGGGTTTGACGACGAACATGTAGTGAGGACCAGCCAACAAGAGCGTACAGGTCACAGTGGTGGGTAGTGTATGGGGCTTTGGAGACAAAACGGATGGCACTGTGATAGACTACATCCAATTTGCTGGGTAGAGTGTTGGAGGCTATTTCGTAAATGACATCGCCGAAGTCAAGGATCGGTAGGATAGTCAGTTTTACGAGGGCATGTTTGGCAGCATGAGTGAAGCATGCTGCCAAGCATGAGTTGACTTGCTGTGTGAACTGCTGACTGCTCATATTTGCAGATAGTTGTTGACACATCAACCAGGATCAAGAGGCAATATGTGACTTGAATTAGTAATCAGTGGCTGTATTGGAGGGGGAATGGTTTCACTTCTCCTAGGCAATCAGCAATTAGTACAGGGAGGTGTGCTCTCCACCTCTGCTAGGCAATTAGCAATTAGTGTTAGTTCTTCAGTCTCCCCTGGTTTCTCAGCGGCAGCGGTTGCGTCAGTAGTGGTTTTGATGCAAAACTAATACCGTCGCCGAAACAAAGACTGTTCTGGGGAGTTGTTCGAGGAAGGAAAGAGAGGAAGGTCAACACCACTCTCTCACTTGTGTATCTTATCTAGTTATTTACAAATGATCTAATTTTGCTCTTCCAGGTCTTTGGCAGCGTTTGGAACTGCTGATATGTGGTAAAGAACATCGAGTTCATCTCAGCCAATGCTGCCCTTCAGTCCCTTGACTTTTTGGCCCTGACTCAGACATGAATCACCCCAGAGAACACTGCTACTCCAGCTTCTCTTTCTTCATCTGACTATGTTTTCTCTCATAGTCCGAGAGCATCTGGTCGTCACGCTGGTGGCACAGGTCTACTCATTTCACCTATCCATCTCCTCATTTTAATTCCATACTCTCACTGTGACTTGTCCACTCAAGCATTATTGTCATCTATTGCCCACCAGGTGCCCTTAAAGAGTTCCTCAATGAGCTTGACACGTTGATAAGCTCATTTCCTGACGATGGCTCACCGCTATTCGTACTTGGCGACGTCAACCTCCCGACGTCTGTCTTCGATTCATTTCTTTCCAACTCTCTCTTTTTCCCCTCCTCCACTTTTAATCTCACCCTTTCCCAATCTCCTCCAACTCAGAAGGCAGGCAATACGCTTGACCTCATCTTTACTAGAGGCTGCTCCCCTACTATTCTCACTGTAACCCCCCTCCAGGTCTCTGATCACTACTTTATTTCTTTTTCTGTCTCCCTTTCCTCCAACCCAAACCACTCAGCCCCTACCCAGATGGTCATGTGCCGTCGCAATCTTCGCTGTCTCTCCCACTACTCTCTCCTCTTCTATCCTATCACCTCTCCCTTCTGCCAAATACTTCTCCCTCCGGTCTCCTGATTCCGCCTCTTCGATCCTACTCTCCTCCCTTTCCACATCCCATGACTCGCACTGTCCCCTTTCCTCCCGGCCGGCACGACCCTCCCCTCACTTCCCTCATCAACTCATTCCTGACCATGAGTTGCTCCCCTCCTCAAGAAACCAACACTCGACTCATCAGACTTAAAAAACTATAGACTATAGACCTGTATCCCTTCTTACTTTTCTTTCCAAAACACTTGGGCATGCTGTCTCTGATCAACTTTCTCATGATCTCTCTCAAAACTATATTTTTGACCATAACAAGTCAGGCTTGAAGACGGGTCACTCAACCAAGACTGCTCTTCTCTGTGTCACAGAGGCTCTCCACACTGCCAAAGCTGACTCTCTCTCCTCTGTTCTCATCCTCCTAGATACAGTTGAAGTCAGAAGTGTACATACACTTAGGTTGGAGTCATTAAAACTTGTTTTTCAACCACTCCACAAATTTCTTGTTAACAAACTATAGTTTTGGAAAGTCGGTTAGGACATCTACTTTGTGAATGACACAAGTAATTTTTCCAACAATTGTTTACAGACAGATTACTTCACTTATAATTTACTGTATCACAATTCCAGTGAGTCAGAAGTTTACACTAAGTTCACTGTGCCTTTAAACAGCTTGGAAAATTCTAGAAAATGTCATGGCTTTAGAAGCTTCTGATAGGCTAATTGACATCATTTGAGTCAATTGGAGGTGTACCTGTGGATGTATTTCAAGGCCTACCTTCAAACTCAGTGCCTCTTTGCTTGACATCATGGGAAAATCAAAAGAAATCAGCCAAGACCTCAACATTTTTTGTAGACATTTACCAGACGCTCTTATCCAGAGCGACTTACAGTTAGGGAGTGCATACATTTTTGTTTCTTCCATACTGGCCCCCCGTGGGAATCGAACCCACAACCCTGGCGTTGCAAACGCCATGCTCTACCAACTGAGCTACACGGGACTAGACCGCCACAAGTCTGGTTCATTCTTGGGAGCAATTTCCAAATGCCTGAAGGTACCACGTTCATCTGTACAACCAATAGTACGCAAGAATAAACACCATGGGACCACGCAGCCGTCATACCGCTCAGGAAGGCGACGCGTTCTGTCTCCTAGAGATGAACGTACTTTGATGCGAAAAGTGCAATTCAATCCCAGAACAACAGCAAAGGACCTTGTGAAGATGCTGGGGGAAACAGGTACAAAAGTATCTATATCCACAGTCAAACGAGTCCTATATCGACATAACCTGAAAGGCCGCTCAGCAAGGAAGAAGCCACTGCTCCAAAACCACCATAAAAAATCCAGACTACGGTTTGCAACTGCACATGGGGACAAAGATCGTACTTTTTGGAGAAATGTCCTCTGGTCTGATGAAACAAAAATAGAACTGTTTGGCCATAATGACCATCGTTATGTTTGGAGGAAAAAGGGGGAGCTTGCAAGCCGAAGAGCACCATCCCAACCGTGAAGCACGGCGGTGGCAGCATCATGCTGTGGGGGTGCTTTGCTGCAGGAGGGACTGGTGCACTTCACAAAATACATGGCATCATGAGCAAGGAATATTTTGTGGGTATATTGAAGTAACATCTCAAGTCATTAGAGTGGCCATCACAAAGCCCTGACCTCAATCCTATAGAAAATGTGTGGGAAGAACTGAAAAGGTGTGTGCAAGCAAGGATGCCTACAAACCTGACTCAGTTACACCAGCTCTGTCAGGAGGAATGGGCCAAAATTCACCCAACTTATTGTGGGAAACTTGTGGAAGGCTACCCGAAACGTTTGACCCAAGTTAAACAATTTAAAGGCAATGCTACCAAATACTAATTGAGTGTATGTAAACTTCTGACCCACTGGGTATGTGATGAAAGAAATAAAAGCCTAAATAAATCATTCTCTCTACTATTATTATGACATTTCAAATTTTTTAAATAAAGTGTTGATCCTAACTGACATAAGACAGGGAATTTTTACTAGGATTAAATGTCAGGAATTGTGAAAAACTGAGTTTAAATATATTTGGCAAAGGTGTATGTAAACTTCCGACTTCAACTGTATATCCGCTGCCTTCGACACAATCAGAGCGTCCTCTCCACCCTCTCAGGGCTGGGCGTCTCAGGCTATGCACACTCTTGAATTACATCCTACCTGGCAGGCCGCTCCTACCAGGTGACGTGGAGAAGATCTGTGTCTGCACCACGTACTCTCACTACTGGTGTCCCCCAGGGCTCGGTTTTAGGCCCTCTCCTCTTCTCTCTATACACCAGGTCACTCGGCTCCGTTATATCCTCATATGGTCTCTCCTATCATTGATCTGCGGATGACACAACTACTTTTCTCCTTCCCCCCTTCTGACACCCAGGTGGCGACATGCATTTCTGCGTGCCTGGCAGAGATCTCAACTTGGATTCCGGCCCACCACCTCAAGCTCAACCTTGACAAGACAGAACTGCTCTTCCTGCCGGGGACGGCCTGCCCGCTCAAAGACCTCTCCATCACGGTTGACACCTCCACAGTGTCGCCCTCCCAGAGTGCAAAGAACCTTGGCGTGACCCTGGACAACATCGTCATTCTCTGCAAACATCAAAGCAGTGACCCAATCCTGCAGGTTCACGCTCTACAACATCCGTAGAGTACAATCCCACCTCACACAGGAAGAGGCGCAGGTCCTAATCCAGGCACTTGTCCTCTCCTGTCTGGACTACTGCAACTCGCTGTTGGCTGGGCTTCCAGCTTGTGACATCAAACCCCTGCAATTTATCCAGAACGCTGCAGCCTGCCTGTTTTTTTTTACCTTCCCAAGAACTCTCATGTCACGCGCTCCTCCGCAGACTCCACACACTCCGCACACTCCACTATCTTCCAGTCGAAGCTCGCATCCATTACAAGACCCTGGTGCTTTCCTACAGAACAGCAAGAGGAACTGCCACTCCCTACCTTCAAGCTATGCTCAAACCCTACACAGAGCACTCCTCAGGTCTCTTGGTCCTCCCAGCCCTATGGGAGGGCAGCTCCCGCTCAGCCCAGTCCAAGCTCTTCCCTGTCCTAGCACCCAACTGGTGGAACCAGCTTCCCCCTGAAGCTAGGACAACAGAGTCCCTGCTATCTTCCGAAAACATCTGAAACCCTACCTCTTCAAACATTATCTTAAATAATTATCCTCCTCACCTCGACCCACCCCAAAATAAAAATGAATCAAATTAACCAGCACTTGCACTTTGTACACTCAGTGTATCTCAACTACTTTCAACCACCAAATATTGATTGATTAATTTGTTATGTGTAGCAAAAACAGATAGACATACTGTATGTTTGAGCAGTGTACTAGAATTACCGCCTTGACCGTGGACAAGGCTTCCATAAGTGAAAACAATGGCGATGACAGGAACACAGAAGTGGCAGGAGAACAAGTACAAGACATATTATTATTTGTTGAAGCCTTCGGCCATTGTGTAGTAATCAGGTCCACATGAACACTGCATGCCCTCGGGATGTATCTATGTGGGAAGAACAAATGAGCCTGTTAACCTTTTATACATTTTAAAGTAAATATCTTATCACAGTTATGTCTTGGATGAAGTCTTTGAATTATAAACTCAAATTCTGAAGGGCCATTACTATAAATACTATATTTGTCAAACGTATTAATCAGATTATTTACATAGATGCTGTATAGTTATAGTTATGCAGTATAACCAGATGCCATGGTTTTTGCCCTGTCTCAGTGCCAAATCCAATCCTGAAGGGCAGAATGCTGAGAGGCTATTGTCAACATCCTAAAAACACAAATTCAATATGTCTACTTCCACCTCAGGGAACAGTCTCAACAGATCAGATCACAATCTTTCCCAAAACATTCCTGGCCACTGTGATTGGATCTTGGAGAACGAGATAGGATTTAAATTTCGGGTGTAAATATAATTAATTATTCCAAATACAGTTTTCACCTTATTTGGAAGAATAAGTGGTCAATTTACTGTGCCAGTTAAGTGTTATTAATAACATTGTAACAACAAATTGAGAGAACTGAGAGGCCAAGGCTGACAAGAGTTTCTGTACAGTATTGTGGTAGAGAACTACTTACACTCTCCCAGTCTTAAGCTCTACATCTATTGAAGTGGGGGAAGGGTGGCAGAATGCCTGCAGATTGCTTGCCTGCCCTCTCTGCAGTGTACATACAGTACCAATCCAATATCAATCATTAACTTGTCATCCAGTTATTCATTAACTAATCAGACTGGGTATTTGGCACAGTTTGTAATTTATCTATTCATTACGAGTGAATCCTAATTTCCACTTATCTAAAATGTTAAATTAGTCTCCCATTGAAATCAATAAACGACTAAGTGAAACTTAAATGGAAGTTAAGATTTGCACCAATGTGATCAATAGGGTATCAAACCCTGGTGGTACTCACACTTCAAGACTACATTAGAACAGGGTTTCCCAGACCAGGGTTTTCCCCCGGGTGCACGTTTTGGTTTTTGCCCTAGTACTACACAGCTGAATCAAATAATCAACTCATCATCAATCTTTGAATCAGCCGTGTAGTGCTAGGGAAAAAATCTAAATGTTTACCCAGGGGGGGCCCCAAGGACAGCGTTTGGGAAACCCTGCATTAGACCATTGGGTTCTCCGGTTCTTAGGCAAGGCTGCACTGATGCATTCACTGTTATAAGCCTATATGTCCAACATGTTTGTCCTAGTCTTGCCTCACTCTGACTGAATGAATAAATCACGTAAAACTACATTAAAACTCTTTTTAGTTTGAAGACCTATTCAGATCCATGTACCATTATTTCTGAGTGCAGTGGTCTCCAGAACTTCTCAGTTGAAGTTACCAATCAGACAAGCTTAGTTGCAGTAACAGCTTAGTAACAGCTGATAGACATCAGTCAATTGATCTGAGTCAGGTAACTACGCATCCAACCCAGGTTGTCCTAGGCACCTCAAGATCATGTAAGCTATCCCACTGACCTAAAGTCTAGCCTAGACTATGGGAGAGAGTCTTTAGGTTCATGCTAAGGTCTCAGCTAAGGTTCAGTGAACTACCTCGACTAAACATACTTAGCCAACAATGGAACGCAGGGTGGTAAGGCTATCATTTGCTAAACTACTCAAGATTGGGCCTGGTTGGGCATGGTTAAATTCCAAAGTGTATGTTTGTGACTGGATGTTCTCTTACCTCAGAGTGCAGCCATGAAACCTTCGATGGCACAGCCCATAGGTCCAAAGACAAAGTAGCCAATGAAGGTGATAGTGAATCCAAAGATTACTATGATCATTCCAGCTGCAGCCAAGTTGACCAAAAGGAAGTTGAGGGGTGGCTGGAGCTTCTTGTTTGTGGATGTGACATACAAGGTCAGACCGTTGATGGGAAATCCAAAACAGATCAGGAAAAACATGTAGACAGCAAGCAGATAGAATTGCCATGGATCTGCCAAGTAGAACTGAGGGTATTCAAAGGCACTTATTACAAGTCCAGTCCTGTTGGACATGGGGATGTAGAAGTTGTTTCCTTCAGTGCCATTCTGCATCTTTAGCCAAGGAGTGGTTGAGATGAAAAGTGGAGAATCTGCTCTAGCTGCAGTCTAGTGTCTTCTAGCTCCTTTGTTATCAGGGATGCTCTGGGTATGTGTGACCAGTACTGAGGATACGAAGAGGCAGGACGCAGAAGCAGGAATCAACAATGTAAAGGTTTACTTAACATTGAGCAAGAGTACAACAAAGAGCAAGTACACGACATGACAATAAAAATCACACACAACACAACACTGAACAGTCCATGGCTATATAGGGGTGGCGATGAGATGATGAGGTGCAGGTGCGCTGGAGGTGATTAGGGTGCATTGGGTTTCCATTCTGGTGTTGCCGAGGTGGTGCGCTCAGACCAGTGGCTCAGTAGACCGGCGAATCAGAGGGCCGGAGGGGAGCAACGGGAGGAGACGTGACTGTATGGTTATATACCCCTCTAAGCAGCCTCATCAGGGATCAAATGGCGATCAAGGAGAGTACCAGGTGGGGGTCAGGGGTATTTTATTGAGAGAGATTTGGATAATTGGTCTTGTCATAATCACCTAGATGTTCCTATCGCAAAACATATACAATACCAGTCAAAAGTTTGGACACACCTACTCATTCAAGGGTTTTTCTTCATTTTTTACTATTTTCTATATTGTAGAATAATAGTGAAGACATCAAAACTATGAAATAACACATATGGAATCATGTAGTTTTATGTTTGAGATTCTTCAAATAGCCACCCTTTGCCTTGATGACAGCTTTGCACACTCTTGGCATTCTCTCAACCAGCTTCATGAGAAAGTCACCTGGATTGCATTTCAATTAACAGGTGTGTCTTCTTAAAAGTTAATTTGTGGAATTTCTTTCCTTCTTAATGCGTTTGAGCCAATCTGTTGTGTTGTGACAAGGTAGTAATATACAGAAGATAGCCCTATTTGGTAAAAGACCAAGTCCATATTATGGACAGCTCAAATAAGCAAAGAGAAACGACAGTTGATCATTACTTTAAGAAATGAAGGTCAGTCAATACGGAAAATGTCAAGAACTTTGAAAGTTTCTTCAAGTGCAGTCACAAAAACCATCAAAAGCTATGATCAAACTGGCTCTCATGAGGACCGCTACAGGAATGGAAGGCCCAGAGTTACCTCTGCTGCAGAGGATAAGTTCATTAGAGTTACTAGCCTCAGAAATTGCAGCCCAAATAAATGCTTCACAGAGTTCATGTAACAGACACATCTCAACATCAACTGTTCAGAGGAGACTGTGTGAATCAGGCCTTCATGGTCGAATTGCTGCAAATGTGTAGTTCCCACCGTAAAGCATGGAGGAGGAGGTGTTATGGTGTGGGGGTGGTTTGATGGTGAAACTGTCTGTGATTTATTTTGAATTGAAGTCACAATTAACCAGCTTGGCTACCACAGCATTCTGCAGGGATACGCCATCCCATCTGGTTTGGGCTTAGTGGGACTGTCATTTGTTTTTCAACAGGACAATGACCCAACAAACCTCCAGGCTGTGTAATGGCTATTTTACCAAGAAGGAGAGTGATGGAGTGCTGCTTCAGATGAACTGGCCTCCACAATCTTCTGACCTCCACCCAATTGAGATGGTTTGGGATGAGTCGGACCGCAGAGTGAAGGAAAAGCAGCCAACAAGTGCTCAGCATATGTGGGAACTCCTTCAAGAATGTTGGAAATGCATTCCAGGTGAAGCTGGTTGAGAGAATGCCAAGAGTGTGCAATGCTGTCATCAAGGCAAAGGGTGGCTGCTTTGAAGAATCTCAAATATAAAATATATTTTGATTTGTTTAATACTTTTTTGCTTACTAGATGATTCCATATGTGTTATTTCATAGTTTTGATGTCGTCACTATAATTCTACAATGTAGAAAACAGCACAAATAAAGAAAACCCTATATTGTGTAGGTGTGTCCAAACTTTTGACTGGTACTGTACATAGACAGTATTTAGGATCCAGTTTCAGATTGTGGGTTCTGTATATAGAAACCATTTTTATTCCCAGAGCGTGACAGACGGAGCTGATGCAGTCACTCTGTCACCATCATCAACACACAGCATGCTACTGGGAATGTGTGTGTGTGTGTTTTAGAGATGCTCAGGACCCGTTTATTACTGGCAACACATTCCAAAACTGACTGCAACTCATTGTTAAGGGTTTTAGTGAATTCATTAGCTGTGGTTACTGACACGTACAGTGCATTCAGAAAGTATTCAGAACCTTTGACATTTTCCACATTTTGTTACGTTACAGCCTTATTCTAAAATTGATTTAATTGCTTTTTTTTCCTCATTAATCTACACAAAATACCCCATAATGACAAAGCAAAAACTGGTTTTTAGACATGTTTGCAAATGTATTAAAACCTAAAATGGAAATATCACATTTACATAAGTTTTCAGACCCTTTACTCAGTGCTTTGTGGAAGCACCTTTGGCAGCGATTACAGCTTTGACTCTTCTTGGGTATGACGCTACAAGCTTGGCACACCTGTATTTGAGGAGTTTCTCCCATTATTTTCTGCAGATCATGTCAAGCACTGTCAGGTTGGATGGGGAATGTCGCTGCACAGCTATTTCCAGGTCTCTCCAGAGATGTTAGATCGGGTTCATGTCCGGGCTCTGGCTGGGCCACTCAAGGACATTCAGAGACTTGTCCCGAAGCCACTCCTGCGTTGTCTTTGCTGTGTGCTTAGGGTCGTTGTCCTGTTGGAAGGTGTACCTTCGCCCCAGTCTGAGGTCCTGAGCACTCAGGAGCAGGTTTTCATCATGGATCTCTCTGTATTTTGCTCCGTTCATCTTTCCCTTGATCCTGACTAGTCTCCCAGTCCCTGCCTCTGAAAAACATCCCCACAGCATGATGCTGACACCACCTTGCTTCACAATAGGGATGGTGCCAGGTTTCCTCCAGACGTGACACTTGGCATTCAGGCCAAAGAGTTCAATCTTGGTTTCATCAGACCAGAGAATCTTGTTTCTCATGGTCTGAGAGTCCTTTAGGTGCCTTTTAGCAAACTCCAAGCGGGCTTTCATGTGTCTTTTACTGAGGAGGGGCTTCTGTCTGGCCACTCCACCATAAAGGCCTGATTGGTGGAGTGCTGCAGAGATGGTTGTCCTTCTGGAAGTTTCTCCCATCTCCACAGAGGAACTCTGGAGCTCTGTCAGAGTGACCATCTGGTTCTTGGTTACCTCCCTGACCAAGGCCCTTCTTCCCCGATTGCTCATTTTGGCTGAGCGGCCAGCTCTAAGAAAAGTCTTGGTGTTTCCAAACTTCTTCCATTTAAGAATGATGGAGGCCACTGTGTTCTTGGGGACTTTAAATTGGGGACACAATCCTGTCTTGGTTTTTGCTCTGACATGCACGGTCAACTGTGGGACCTTTCCAAATCATGTCCAATCAGTTGAATTTACCACAAGTGGACTCCAATCAAGTTGTAGAAACATCTCAAGGATGATTCATGGAAACAGGACACAGCTGAGCTCAATTTTGAGTCTCATAGCAAAGGGTCTGAATACTTATGTAAATTAGTAATATCTATATACAGTGAGGGAAAAAAGTATTTGATCCCCTGCTGATTTTGTACGTTTGCCCACTGACAAAGAAATGATCAGTCTATAATTTTAATGATAGGTATATTTGAACTGTGAGAGACAAAATAACAACAAATAAATCCAGAAAAATGCATATCAAAAATGTTATAAATTGATATGCATTTTAATGAGGGAAATAAGTATTTGACCCCTCTGCAAAACATGACTTAGTACTTGGTGCCAAAACCCTTGTTGGCAATCACAGAGGTCAGACGTTTCTTGTAGTTGGCCACCAGGTTTGCACACATCTCAGGAGGGATTTTGTCCCACTCCTCTTTGCAGAGTCATTAAGGTTTTGAGGCTGATGTTTGGCAACTCAAACCTTCAGCTCCCTCCACAGATTTTCAATGGGATTAAGGTCTGGAGACTGGCTAGGCCACTCCAGGACCTTAATGTGCTTCTTCTTGAGCCACTCCTTTGTTGCCTTGGCCGTGTGTTTTGGGTCATTGTCATGCTGGAATACCCATCCACGACCCATTTTCAATGCCCTGGCTGAGGGAAGGAGGTTCTCACCCAAGATTTGACGGTACATGGCCCTGTCCATCGTCCCTTTGATGCGGTGAAGTTGTCCTGTCCCCTTAGCAGAAAAACACCCCCAAAGCATAATGTTTCCACCTCCATATTTGATGGTGGGGATGGTGTTCTTGGGGTCATAGGCAGCATTCCTCCTCCTCCAAACATGGCGAGTTGAGTTGATGCCAAAGAGCTCTATTTTGGTCTCATCTGACCACAACACTTTCACCCAGTTCTCCTCTGAATCATTCAGATGTTCATTGGCAAACTTCAGACGGTCCTGTATATGTCCTTTCTTGAGCAGGGGGACCTTGCGGGCGCTGCAGGATTTCAGTCCTTCGCGGCGTAGTGTGTTACCAATTGTTTTCTTGGTGACTATGGTCCCAGCTGCCTTGAGATCATTGACAAGATCCTCCCGTGTAGTTCTGGGCTGATTCCTCACCGTTCTCATGATCATTGCAACTCCACAAGGTGAGATCTTGCATGGAGCCCCAGGCCGAGGGAGATTGACAGTTCTTTTGTGTTTCTTCCATTTGCGAATGATCGCACCAACTGTTGTCACCTTCTCACCAAGCTGCTTGGCGATGGTCTTGTAGCCCATTCCAGCCTTGTGTAGGTCTACAATCTTGTCCCTGACATCCTTGGAGAGCTCTTTGGTCTTGGCCATGGTGGAGAGTTTGGAATCTGATTGATTGATTGCTTCTGTGGACAGGTATCTTTTATACAGGAAACAAGCTGAGATTAAGAGCACTCCCTTTAAGAGTGTGCTCCTAATCTCAGCTCGTTACCTGTATAAAAGACACCTGGGAGCCAGAAATCTTTCTGATTGAGAGGGGGTCAAATAATTATTTCCCTCATTAAAATGCAAATCAATTTATAACATTTTTTACATG